TCATTGTTTGTGGCCTTATCAGTGTGCATGCAAAAGGAATGGGCCAAGATGGGTAGACGCTAGACGACAAAGTCTAACTGTTTCTCCCGGGCTGGCTGCCTCTGTAGATGGCAGCTTGTTAGCCGAGGGGATTCCCGCTAATGTCACTCATACGACACGTTGCCAGCAGAAGCAGCAGCAGCAGCCGCAGCCTCACACAGATAAGTAAATACATAGAAACGGGCAAAATATGAATGTCGAAGCTCTGTGGCTCATATAAATCAGAATGCTATCAGCTGATGACCCCATTTCATAGGCAGACATCCACACACAGAGATCGAGAGAGAGAGAGAGTGCCCCTCGATTTTCATGGCTTTTCAATAAAGCGTGTCAGGCATAAATCATTCAACTTATCTCAATCTCAGCAAAAGGGAGGCCAAAAGAGAGGCTGTGGATTTTTCTAGGAGAATTAAGCCAAGAGCCTCTGTGCTCTTGACAAGCCACCAGGCAAACAATAACCCGCGATAAGCATCGCGCACCCAGCCACCACCCCCCCGTCAACCCATTCCACTTACCACTTTATTGATTTTGCATAGGTCTCTGGGAGCTTCAACAAAAGTGTCGTAAATCTTGACACACTCGCAAAGAAGAAGCAGCTGAATGCCACACAGCTAAAAGAAACAGAGGGCACACAGACTAAAGGGCTGCTGCTGCTGCTACTGCTGCCAGGCAGGCTACTAATGCACATAATGCCCCGCCACTTGAATTGCCAACAATTGGTACTCGTACTCGTTGCAGCGCCCCCAAAAAATCCAGGCCAGCAACCAAGTTCGAGTGGACGGACGTGTGCCAGGCACAAAGAAAAATGCCACTACACAAAAGATCCTTGTGGCAAACCCTTGATAGCAAACATTGATTGAGACCCTGCCAACAGCAAACCGTCAACCATAACCATCCATGGGACTTCCTGCCCCATCCATCAAAGTACCCATGCACTGGAGAGTGCACTGGGAAGGGTAAAGGGGTAACCAGTAACCCACTTGTGGCACAGCCCCGAAATTAAATGAAATGAAGATTAATGACAAACAGCAATTTACGCTCAATGTCGCATTAATTGAGGCAATGAGCGCTTGAATAAATTCATGAGTTTACACACACAAAATCCAAACCACAAAAACAAACCCAAAAACAAAAATAAAAAACAAAAAGAAAAAAAAACACACACACAATGACAAAGCGCCAACACCAAACATGTGCCAAGTGCTTCTAAGCCACAGATATGCGTTTCCAGCCAAGGTTGCTTACAACTTTAGTTGGCTAAAAGAGGTACAGTCAGGGGCCAGTCAGGGGGGTGTAGCAGGTCGTTGCCTGATTGCTCGATAAAGAGCTTAACCCATTGAGAGAGAGAGACACCTCGAAAAAAAGATGCCAAGGAGGGACACAAAAGATTCAACATTAGGAAATGAAATGGCAAAAACCTTTTCATTTGTGGAAAGTATTCAAATACCCACAACAGTTCCGCACACACACACACACACACACACACAAAAGGTCAGAGTTGAGTCTTCCCCACACGTGTCACTCAACAGATCCTCAGGCTCTACGCTCCGCCCCTCCCATCCTTTGCCACATTTGGCGCGTGTGGCGCGAGGCGTTGGTCGGGATTAAGTGTGGTCGAAAATCGGTTAGTGGTTTGGTCAGCAGCAGCCAACGGAGCAATCAACACAGCCACCAGGCTGTAGCACACTCGTAACCCGTTACTCGCCACACGGCAACGCGGCAACGGCAACACACCCCAATTTGGCTTTGGGCTTTGGCTTTGACGTTGTCTATTAGCCGGGTTATGAGCAAATTACGGGAGCGCCATAGCCAATGCCATGCCCCACAGAGAAACCTATGACGGAATGGTCTGAACAAAAAAAAAAATGAAACTAATTGCACCACAAAGCTGGTTATTGCCTGCCAGCCTGCCTGCCCCATGCTCTGTGGCAGTGGCTGATGGCTGATGCCTGATGATGGTGGTTTATGGCTGCAGAGTGCGGCCTACGCGGCCTGCGGTCGTTGTTTAATATGCAACAAATCAACGCGCAAATTGTGCCATAAAATATTTACATTTGGCCACTGCCTGCGGGCCAGCTGTATCACCCCCCCGCACGACCCCACCAGGTGCGCCCTCGCATCAGGTTTTCATAGGTCCCACTCCCCAAAGCGAAAAGCTTAAGCTGTTTTGCACCTGTGGCTCTTCTCTTTAATCTTTAATATGGGGTGGAAAATGTGATTCAGTTTTCGTTTGCTGTTTATATTTATTCCAGATATCCCGAGAACTTTCTGCGCTTTTCTCCAGATTTCTCTTGCTATATACCGAACATCTCGTGCATTTTTCTTTATCCACTTCTCATGTCCCACCCACTGCTGCTGCTACTGCCCCCTTCTCTCATATCAGCCATGCCTCTGATTTTGTTTATTGCGTTTAATTTGCGCATTGTTTGTGCGGCTTTCGGGTATAATTGCAGGCATCAATTGCACCCACACACACACACACACACACACACACACACACACGGCGGCAGTGAGTGGCAATCAACTTGCCATCACCGCCAACCGCAGTGGCAACAGCAAATAGGAGCTGCACCATTGGACAGTGGCAATCAGATTGCCACAGACGACTCTCCTGGACCACGCAAATCCCCATTTAATCCACTGGTTCCAACATGTTCCAACAAAATGTTCACTTGGCTTGCATTAGGTTTGTCTAGCTTTAAGTTTCATTGGCAACTGTATAATCTAAGCTAATTTCGAGCCACATTTCGATCTGTTTGCTTTGTACGTTGCTTTGTTTGTTTATTGATACTCCTTGGAACGGGAGGGTATTCAAGATTAAGATGTGTTTGCCCTGAACATGACCAAATATTTCGATTAAAGATTAATCCCTTGCCAGACTTCAGTTCAGATAAATATCTCTCATACATTTTTTGTTTTTTTATTTTATTTTTTTTTTATTACGTATTTTTGTTATTGAATATTCCCTATTAGAGACGGACGACAAGTATGAAAATCTTAACATAATTTATTTATTTAATTACATACATTTAAAATTATTTTTCCAGGGTACACACTGCTTCGACCCCTCCAGAATTTTCTTTTCTTTGTTATTTCCCCATTTTGTGTGGTGTGTTTGCATTTCACGCTTTTGGCCGTGGTCCCCGAACTCTAGCTCGAGTGTGTGTGATTAATCTCCCACCATGGCACCCATGCCACATCCCATGGAATGTAAAACCCAAACAAACAAATACTCGTAGCACGGTATGGCAAAAAAAAAAACACGAAAAAAAAAAAAAAAAGAGAAGAAAGAAATGATTTCCCACTGTTATTGATGATGTGTTGATTAGGTTCTGACAAACCCCTCCATCGCGGTCATGTGAACCAACAATCAAAATACAGAATTTCACTTTGAACTCGTGCCGCTCGCATTGGGGGCTGATGCTGACGCCCTGCTGTGGGGAGGGTGGTGCCGGTGCCCGGTAGATCGAACACCGGGACGTAGTGCAGCGCCCCAGCGCCTGTGTGTGGTGCGGTCATAATCAAAATTTGGGTCATGTTTGACCATGTTGCCAAAAGCCGTGGCAAGAAACCCTAAACCGAAATCATGCAAAGCAGCGTGTGTTTAATGAATTGCCATCCATCCATCCATCCACCCATATGTGGAGGATAGTCGTGGTGTGTCGCTCCCCCCGCCTCACCGAACATTCATGTTGCAAGTTCCAACACTGCAGCCCGGTAAGGGGGCAGCTTTTGTAATGGCCAGTTGCCGCCGTTGCTGCAGTTACGCAAAGCGCCCATCGACTGTCTGTCAATTTCTGGATATTTATGGTGCATAAATCCAACCTGAAGGGTCAGACACACAGCTAATTGGGGGGGAATTTTCGTTGTTGTTGTTGCTGTTGCTGTTGTTTGTGTTTTTGTGTGCTTCTGGGAAATAGGTTTTTTAATGGTTGGTGGGTGAGTCAGACCAAAGTCGGCAGGGAGATATGACCTGAGCTGTGGAGACTCTCTTAAATGATTCTGTGCATTTCTCATTTTTGATATTTTTTCTTTCATATTTAAACCTAATCATAGGTTTTTAATTTTGCTATTTCCATTCATATTTTTTTTTTTTTAATTATGTTGTCGTATCTCTCTATCCAACCTTGTTCCCCCCACATATGTATTCTCTGGCTGCCACACACACACATCACTGAAGCCACTCTGTCCAACCAATGACCTTTGCTTTCCCCTCTACCCTGGAATCTCCTGCTTCCCGCCAAGAAATACAAATCAAATATATGTTTGTACATACATATGTAATTATAGTATAATTATAATTAAATTTGAATACAAACTAAACTTCCGTAACAGCCCTCGCAAGGTTGTCTGCTGGTTAGATGGGAATGAGAATGATCTTTGTACTCTTGTAATTTCATGGCAGAATTCCTCGATAAATTGATGTACGGGGTACATATGTATGTACATATGCGGGCTGCGGAACCATGGGCAAAAAGGCCACGTTCCCTTGGCCATGCGGACAGTGAGTGGAGTTCATCCGTCAATTCAGAGCCGACTAACGGCCTGGCCAATTGTCGCAAATTAGTGGAGGCCCAGACCCAGACCCACACGCACACACCCCCAAACCCCAAACCCCGAACCTCGAACCCCGAAGCACCAAGCACCGATCGCTGAACGAACAGCAGATTCGGAGCCAGCGATAGCCAGTGAGCGAGCGAGCGAGCGAGCAGGTGAAGTCGAGACAAGAACGGACAAGACAAACACCTAAAGCCAATCCACATGAGCACACAAGCTAACGGTATTCCAAGCACACACACACGCACACAAATCAAAGAAGGGAGAGAAGATCCAGAAATCCAGAAATCAAGGAAGGGAATCAAGAACAAGAGAAGCAAGAGGAAGCTGGAGGAAGACAGAAAGAGACAGAAAAGACTCACAAGAGAGAGAGAGAGAGAGACAGCAAAGACCCACAAGAGAGATAAAGAGCGAGAGAGAAGCGACAGAAAGAACAGCTACATATACAAAATTTTACTGCTACAATTGGCAAATTGAAAATTGCTCGCTGGTGGCGATGACGATGGCTGTGGCTGTGGCTGGGGCTGTGGCGGCGGGCGTTGGAATTGAAGCTTAAGCTGTAGCTTCAGCTGAAGCTGGTGTATCTTGAACCTGGCCAAGGCGGAAGCTTCAGACCCTGAGCAGGCCCAAAGCCATGGCCTCCCCTTCCTCTCCTTTCGCCCCTTCCAACCCGCCAAGATGCGTTCGTCTGGCGCGATAAGCTGACATCCACAACGTGCCACAGACGATGATGCATTTGGCCGTCTCAGCCGCAGTCTCTGCACACCAGACATAGACGTTTCAATTTCAAACAAGCCAAAGCGGCCTAGAACGGTATTACGGCAAGGGGATTACCCTGTAGCTATGGCTGATAGCCATATGATGGCAATATCTTACGGATGTCAGAGTATCAGAGAATCAAGTGTAGTCGCAAATTAAAATTCCTCTTTCGCCTGTCACACACACATCCACACGAAAACGCTATATACCCTCGGCGCCCTACAGCAAAATCCCAGGGTGCATACGAAAACAAAACGGTTTTGGCCAGGCCAATCTTCAAGGCAGACATTTTAATGAAGCCGCCGTCAGGCAGCATTTGTGGCAGCCACCTTCTGCGTCTTCTGCCGCTTCCCCTTCGCCATCATGTCTGTGGCCTGTGTAACGGTGCCAAGTCCACGCACTGTCTGCGGCCGAAACGAATGACTTAAGCGGCGAACCTGATGAGCCTCACTAATGCGTAAGAGAAGAGCCGCTTTAGACGCTAAGATTACCTAAGACCAAACAGACCATTAGATGGAGAATACACGTGTATAAGTAAGCCCTCCCCCCCCTCGCGTGTCATTACTTTTTGTCACTTTTTCAACTTTCGCTAGCAGTTTTCCCTTCATCTCTGGCAATTCTTGACCCGTTTCTGGGGCCTACGCCCCCACACACCCACACCCACACCCACAGCCGAGAGCTGTCTAGTGTTCTCTATAATTAAAAAAGAAACGTAACGAAATGAAATGAAATCTTGTCTTCCAGAGTCCACTTGATTCGGAATACGAGCACTTGATTGCCATAATGAAAAAGAGAGAAAAAAGAGTCAGAGAGGGGCTCGAGTTGGGCCGCCTCGTGTCTGTTTAGGCGTTAATTATGGGTTCTGGCAAATTACGGGCCGGCCGCCTCATGAGATGCACTTTCTCTTTGCCGGCCACAACTCAAAACAGTGAGTGGAAATGAGTCGAAAGATGAATAAAGTTGAATGAATGCGAGGGCGCGAGCGAGGGCGTTATGACAAAAATCAATGTCTGGCTGATGTTCGTACTCGTCCCTTACCTTTTGTTGTATGCGGCTTCTAATTGCTTCCAGATCGCTGATCACATTACCTCTGTAAAAGAAAGAAGGGAGAGGTTGAAAACGGTGGTTGCTTACTCCCCGTACAATGAGTGGGCAAAAGAGAAATGCAAATTAGTTTATGAAAATACTCAAAAATACAATAACCCAAGAAATATGGCACTTAACAAAAATAAATCTTGAAAAGACTCTTCACAAGCCGTATGGCTCTTGCCTTTGCCTTCAGCTACAAATTGACATTGTTTCGTCCAAAGTAGAGGAGTAAATGTATTATATATACGTATGTATATATGTATATATCATGGCCTGGAACACGTGTTCGACATTTGTTAAACCATTTTGCAGTTCTTGAACTGACTTTGATATTTCTTTGATTTATTGCCTGCAATTGTCGCACATTGCTCTCATTGCTCGTAAAAGTGAAAACTTTCATCCGCGGGGCTCACTTTTGTGCACTTTTGCTTTCGAAACTTTCAATTTGGTGACTTAATTTCTTTGGGGGGGCTCTAATGAAATCGAACTGCCGTACCGCACAATAGCAATTGGCCGGGCCAAAACGCCCATTGTCAGACAATTTAACCAAGCCAAATCGACGGAGAGTCGCGCCGCTTTGCCAAAGAAATTATCAAGTGCACTTTTACTTTCATTGTTGGTGGAGTAGGAGGAGACGGCAAAGGGGAGGTGGAGTCGGAGGTGGAGAAGTGCTAACGAACATTTTATGGCCGCGTTCGAATACAATTTTCCCTTGAGTTTCGGTTATTTTCCTTTTAGCATTGGCTAATGAGCCGAAAATTCCATTTACAAAGAGTTTCAGTCAGTCAGTCAGTCAGTTTGTTGGAAATTATCAAACAATTTGGGCTTTGAAATGGATTCCCCCCTCCCCCTTTTCCCCCCTTGCAACGATTTTTATGGGAAAAATGTTTCTTTTTCGAAATGAAATGAAACGAAACTCTCTGAAAGCTGCGACTCTTCTGCTTATATAAGGAGAAGAGCCCCCCATCAAAAACAATGTCTGGCCATAATGCTTGTCAAACTAAATCGAATGGCGTTTGTCTTTATTAAAACTAAATTAAATGCAAAGCAAAACAAAGCAGAAACGTGAAAACTTATTCAAACAAAACGAATTGATTTTTAACTGCAACGCATTTCGCAATTGTCTGAGTTTGGTTCGGGATTAATAAAGGGAATGGAAGGGAAGGGTTGGTAATGTTTTCCCAAAACATGATTTAAGTTCTTAAGAATTTCAAAATACTTTCATATATTTCGTCTTTATTTTTTATGTATTTTTGAGCTAAAATGTAAATACAATTTAATATATTTGCATGCAGATAAAAGAATAAAAGCACCCAAAAATGCCCTGCCTAATTTATTCATGAAATTTCTATTGAAATTCCGACTATAAACAGTAAACGATCATCAAATGGGATCATCAATTTTTACGATGCTCGTATTCTTTCTATGTTATGTCAACAAATCGTAGGAATATTTAAATACATTCGAAGTTTAAAAGTCTTAGGGTGGATCGTGGCTTCAGCCTGAGGCTGAGTGAGAATCTGTGATGCATAAAATATTTATTACTATTTGAAATCATTTGAGGGTTCTTCAGAAAGACTTCCCACAATTTATGTGGAAGTCCGATGGTTCCCACAATTCCCCATGTGGATTGTGCACTGTAGCGTGGCGAGGCGGGGCAGCGGCGGCGGCGGCGGTGGCGGCGGCGGCGTGGGCGTGTCAGCAGCGACTGCTGCAACTGCAACGAGCTTGCATGCAAAGCATGGCATTATCTTCAGTCGCGAATCGCGATCTCTCAAGCTCAGGCCGCTGGCGGACATGTTTGCTACTCGAATTAAATAAGCCACAAAACGGCAAAGACAAAATAAATAGATGCATATGCTACTACCAACAATGGGGGAGAGAAAAACAAACAAACGTATCAATTAGCAGGAGACAAAAAACCCGAACCAAAAAACAAAAGAAGAAGAAAAAAAAACAGAGCAGGTCCAGAAAACAGAGACAAAGACACACAAAGACAGATCTCTACTACAGAGCAACAACCAGCCAGAGAGAAACATTTATATTTAGATATTTTTTTAAATTTTTTTTTCGTAGCTGTTTGGCATTTTTTGTTGTTGCTCATGGCCAAAGCGTTTTTCCGCAGCGAGGAAATGGAGCTGTGCCAGCTGCTGCTCCACACGGAGAACGCCTTCGACTGCGTCATGGAGCTGGGGCACCACGGGGGCCTGCAGTTCAACAACGTTTACGATGAGGATCGCCAGATGAACGGAATGTACACCAAGAAGGTGACGCTGTGCAGCGAGCTGCTCCGCATTGCGGACAATCTGCAGCATCAGATGGCGGAGCTGCAGATCAAGGTGTACTTCTATCCGGATGTGGACTGGGAGAATCGGCTGATCGAGAGGGATCTGAAGGAGTACGGCGAGCGGCTGCGGCGGCTGCATGTGGAGACAACGGCCGTCATGGAGCATTACAATGCCCTGGATCGTCGCCGATATTGGATGCTTGAGCATCGATTTGCCATCGGCAAGGCCGACAAGTTCTTTGCCTCCGACATGGGCAGCGAGCTGCTCTACTCGGAGAGCACGCTCCTGACGCTGATCAAGGATGCGGCCGAGGACAGTCCGGCGCATCGACAGCTGAACTACATCATCGGCAGCATACGGGCGGATAAGTTCGAGAGCTTCGAGCTGCTGTGCTACCGGCTGTTCGGCTTCAATCTGGTGGTACGCTTCGCGGAGATGCCCATGCCGATGATGGACTTCCATGGCCACCGGTCGGAGAAGGTGCGCAAGTTCTCGCTGCTGCTGCTCACCAATTCGACGATGATCTGGCCAAAGGTCAACAAGCTCTGTCACGCCTACCATGTGACCATCTACGAGTGCCCCGAATCGACGACGCTGCGCATGGCGAAGGTTCAGGAGTTGAGCGAGGAGATAGAGAACTTGGAGCGCATCCTGTACGAGTCGCAGCGCATACGCGTGCAGATCCTGGAGGTGACCGCCCGGGATCTGTATTTGGTGCGGGTGAATCTAACCAAGGCCGTGCGGGTCTACGATCTGCTGAATCGCCTGCGACCGGTGGGGGGTCTGGAGCGTCAGAAGTATCTGCAGGCCGAGTGCTTTGTGCCCGTCTCCGATCTCGAGGGCGTTCGCACGGCCCTGAAGAAGGGAACGCGGATAAAGGCCGGCGCGGATAAGCCGGAACAGCAGCAGCAGCAGGAAGAGGAGAACCAGCAGCAGGAGCAGGACCAGCAACAGGAGGAGCTAGTGTCGGATGCTGATAATGAGCCGTCAATGCTGGGGCCCGCGAGACAAAGCACCGACGAGCAGTCCCTACCGCCCCTGCTGCTGAAGAAGAATCGCCACTCCAGCCACATTCCGCCCACCTTCTTTCGCCTGAATAAGTTTACGCAGGGCTTCCAGAATCTGATCGACTCCTACGGCATATCGGACTACAGGGAGATCAATCCGGCACCCTACACCATCATCACGTTTCCGTTTCTGTTCTCTGTGATGTTCGGGGACTTTGGCCACGGCATACTGGTGACCCTTTTCGCCCTTCTGCTCATCTGGAAGGAGAAGAGTATCGCGGCGGGTCAGCGGGCCGCCAAGGAGGAGAACGAGATACTCAACATTCTGTTCGCCGGACGCTACATTGTCCTGCTGATGGGTCTGTTCTCCATCTATATGGGTCTGATCTACAACGATGCGCTGTCCAAGTCCTTAAACATTTTCGGATCCAGCTGGAGCTGCCGCTACAATGCCTCAACGCTGGACCACATGACCGGGCAGCTGAATCTGGATCCATCGAATCGATACTTCTACTCGGGTAATCCCTATCCCTTTGGCGTTGATCCCGTGTGGAAAGTGTGCGGCGAGGACTCGATAACCACCTTCAACTCGTTGAAAATGAAGCTGGCCATTATTTTGGGCATTGCCCAGATGATGTTCGGCCTCTCGCTGTCGGCCGTCAACTGTGTGATCCTGAAGCGAAAGGCAGATCTCCTGCTGGTGGTCGTGCCGCAGTTTGTCTTCATGATCTGCCTCTTCTGCTACCTGGTTTTCCTCATTTTCCTCAAGTGGCTGCTGTATGGGGGCTTGAAGTCAACGCCCTTCAACTCGGCCTGTGCCCCCTCCGTGCTGATCACCTTCATCGACATGATGCTGATGAAGAACACAGAGCTGGACGATGTCCAGTGCAACAGTGAGATGTTCAAAGGTGAACGTTTGCTGGAGTATATCCTGGTGTTTGTTGCCTTCCTGGCGGTGCCCGTTCTGCTGGCCGGCAAGCCCATCTATCTGCAGCGGCGGCAAAAGAAGCTGAAGAAGCAGCGGCAGGAGCGTGACATTCAGGAGCTGAAGCAGAACGGTCGCGAGATCCTCAAGGAGATGCGCTCCGCTCAGCGCTACTCCATCGATTCGCAGGAGGACACCGTCAACGAGAAGCGCGACTCCAAGCCGAAGGCCCACAGTGCCGACCATGCCGAGGAGTTTGATCTATCCGAGATCTGGATACACTCGGGCATACACACCATAGAGACGGTGCTCGGCTCCGTCTCACACACCGCCTCGTATCTGCGCCTGTGGGCCCTCTCCCTGGCCCACGATCAGTTGTCGCATGTGCTGTGGCACATGGTCCTGGCCAAGGGTCTGAAAACTGATGCCCCAATCTATATGGCCGTGCCCATGCTGGCCTTCTCCTTCCTGGCGTGGTCCGTGCTCACGGTGGCCATTCTGGTGGGCATGGAGGGCCTCTCCGCCTTCCTGCACACGCTCCGTCTCCACTGGGTGGAGTTTCAGTCCAAGTTCTACAGCGGCTCTGGCGAACCCTTTCGCCCCTTCAAGTTTGCGCCCTCCAGTCAAAGGACTTAGGTGGCTGCTCCCCCGTTTGCTCTTAAATATACGGCGTACATATTTATTGTGTATGGGTATGTATTTTGGATATCATCCTCTGTGGTTTGGTGGTGGCTGCCTCGTGCTGTGCTGGCTCTATATCTTTTTGCAATTAACTGTAATCCCACGCAGGCGGGGCACTCGCTGGACATTCCATTGCAATTAGCATTGGCCGGGGCTCTCCATGCCGCCATGCAAAAGGCCATAAACCAAAGCTAACTTTAAACAATTTCCATTTGTTTGCTTTATGCCACTCTGAAACGACGGCCATTGCCAGCTGCCACTGCCACTGCCAGTACCAGCACTACAACAACCAATACCGCTGTTGCTGTTTCTGCGGCTGTTGCAGTTGTCTCTGTTGCTGCTGTTGTTGCTGCTGCTGTTGCTGCTGTTGCTGTGGCAGGCTTCCTTCCTCCGATGCGGGCGCTTTTGGAGTCGTCGACCCTTTTGTGCTGTGCTGTGCTGTGCTGTGTGTTGTCTCTGGGCTCTGGGCTCAGAGCTCTCTTGTGGCACTACGTACACTCGTACACGTACTCGTACTCTTACTCTGGTATTGCTGCTGTTCGTTCTGCTGTCGTTCGTTCTTGTCGTAGTTGTTCAGCTTGTTTTCTATCCACACACAGCTGAGTATTTGTTGCTGTGCCGCTCGCTCTGTTTGCCATTAACACCCACGCCACAGCAACTTTTGGTTGCCAGCGCCCCCCCCCCTACCCAATCATAGCTCCATATCTGACTGTGGGGCTTTGGGGCCCCGAGTCTTGGCATAAATTATGAACAGCAACCGATGACGCATGCAGGCCTAAGTAGACTTGCTCGTGCATAAATAACTTTCGTTAGCCACATGGCCTGACTTGACTTTATTAGATCTCAGAGACAACAGCATCAGCAGCAGGAGCAGCAGCAGCAGCAGCAGCAGCAGCTAGAACCACACACATAAACTAACAACCAGAAGACGATCCTTGGGATACTCTTTTGACTCTTTTTGATATTTGAATTCGAATCTTAAGAACAAAGAGACGATCCATTGACTCATGAGTAATTCAGTTGAAATACAATACATTCCGTTGAAGATCGAATGCTCTTCCTTTTCTATATCTTGCCATATCGCGCGTATCCCCCTCATACGTGTAGTGTATCGAATGAGAGCCCAATGTAATGCCTGTAATGCAGCATTTTCATGACCAGAGCAGGTTTAGGCCAAGTCTACGCAATAGCTTTGGCCAAAACAGGCTTTGGCTCTGGCTATAACTTTAAACCGCAGCACGCGCCATTGTTTAGGTGGTGCTCTGCTCTGCAGTGCAGTGCAGTGCAGTGCTTTGCTGTGCTGTAGGAGGAATGTAGGGTGGGGTTTTGTCTGTGGGTCTGTGCCTCTGTGTGAGGGGTTGGAGGTGGAGATTCGCGTATGCTGCCTAAGTCTTTTGTTAATACTTTCGTTGTTGCTTTTGCTGTGACTGTTGCTCTGTTGCTGTGCGTTGCTCTAATGTTGGGCCCACAAATGGCCAACTGCTTAGCACTTTTATGGCCAACAATTGTCAAGTCTCCCAGGGGTAACCAGATTGCATCCATTACAGGCCCAGCCCCAGCCCCAGCCGCAGCCGCAGCATCGTGTGCACTGCAAGAAAAGCAAGGTCAAGTTGTCGCTGATTGTCCATTGCTGCTGTCGTTGTCGTTGTCGCCGAGGGAGATTCAATTTGAAACTTAAATGTTGATGATTCCCTTTTGGTTGCCTCATTCTTTTGGGTTGTCGCCTGTCAGTCGCATCCACGTCACGTTCCACAGTCTGCTGCTGCTGTTGCCGTTGCTGCTGGGTCATCAATTTTTTGAGTGCATTGCCGCTGTCCTTTAAAGGGCTGCTACTCGATGTTGCTGTTGCTGTTGCTGTTGCAGTGGCTTCTATGTTGCAACAATGACAGCAGCAACAGCAGCTGCAGCAACAGCAACCATTGTTGGCACAGGGACAAGGGACTGCGACTGGGACTGGGACTGCGACTCTGTCTAGTTCTGCTTTTGGGCCTTTACATGCCGGGGGCATAACAAAAAAGGTGTTAAATTCAACTCATGGCAGACTCGACTCCTCTCCACTGCAGCAGCAGCAGCAGCAGCAGCAGCAGCAGCAGCAACAGCAACAGACTCGAACCACTCCAAAAGCCAAAGCAAATGTCAATGCACGCTCAAGAATTTCGCTTGTACTGCAGAAGGACATCTCTCCGGCTGCCCAGCGATGACTCTTGGACTCCCAACTCGGACTCTGAAGCACTCTGAAGTGTTTGCCCCTCATCGCAGCCACAAATACCAGTGGGAGAGAGGCGATGGAATGGGAATGGAAATGGCAATGGCAGAAGCTTCATTTAAATGAAGTCAACGTCATGCAAAAAGTGATGAAAACATCAGACAGAGACCATGCCATACATACATACATACATACATACATACATACATACATACATACATACATACATACATACATACATACGTATGTATTTATGGCTGTAAAGATGTGTAAACTTTTAAGGAAATTAATTAACTTTTCACACAATTATTGCTGTGTTGCCGTTTGCACACAGCCTTTTGGTTTTTGCGCTTTTGGCTGCCAAGTGGAAAAATGCCATTTAATTTCGCCACAAATTGTGCATTTTTATTTTGTAGCTTTTAATTAAAATGAAATATCTTTTGTTCATCTCTGTCATTGTTGTCGTGCTCTTCTTTTGCCCTCTCTGCTTTGCACTCTTTTTGTTTTTTTTTGTTTTTTTTTTTTTGGTTTTCCTTGAGGCAGAACGGAAGCTGACAATTGACCATTAAAATAAACAAGTCAGAGATCTCACAAGTTCGAAAAAAAAATGGGGGGAAAAAACTTTCACTCAACAAAATGTTTTAATTAAAAATTTGCAAAAAAAAAAAAAACAACAGCAAAAACCCAATTAGAAGATGAAGAAAAAGAAATTAATTTAAACTAGATATTGTGTGGATGTGTGTGTGTATAACCTGTTGGTGATTTTGCATTAGCCATACCACTCGTACTTCAGCGGCATTGTCTTCGTGGGGCGGGGGGAAAAGTGAAATTTCAACTTCAAGATCTGTTGAAGGCAGGGAGAACCCATTTTTGGCATTTAGCAGTTCATTAGCAAGAAGCAGCACAAAAAATATGCATAATGCCAAACATGGACCACAGAGGCGGAAAGTGAAAGACCATAAAATATGTGTAGAAATTTATGAAATTTATTTGTGGATTCTTTTCGGGGTTAAAGGTGTCTTGCATGAGGAAGGTCTCACCTGTTAGAGTACATCTTTTTGTATTCTGATACTCTGCAACGCCTCTCACAGAATGCAGTTAAATGCTGGCGACAGAAAGACAGCGAGCCAACAAGGAGAGTATCAGCAGAGAGCGAGAGAGAGAGAGAGAGTGGGGAAGCGAGAGTTCGGAAAGCATGAGAAAAAGATCACACGCTTAACAGTTACCGTTCCGATAAATTAATTGAGTTAAATGGTTTCTTTTCTGTGACATTTCACAGATTTAAATCTCAAAAGTAGATCGAGAAGCCCGAAATGATAAAAGCTCTATATAAAGCTGTGATCCTCATTAAAAATGAGTTCCATGTACAAATACACCTTTGATCTCCCAGCGACGACCACACACACACCGAACACACCGAACACACACTCCATTCAATTACTCAGTGAACGCTGTGCGGATTCTTTTCTCTTTCCTTTAGTCTTTTGTTCTCATTCTGCATAATGTGAACCTGATATACAGTATATTATATACTGTGATATATCCCCGTATATGTGTCAATTACGGCACGATTTTTTGGCACATTACTGTTCCCAGTGCGCCTGACACATTTCCCGTGTGTGGCAGTAGTCCGATACCGATGCCGATATTTATGTCAGCGGCGACAATAAATTTGTCAGCTTTTTGTTAACCGTTAAGTAAACGCAATGCATGATTTGTGTTTTGTAATGAGGGCGAAAGCCACAGACAGAAACAGAGAATGGAATGAAGTGGAGTGGAGTGGAATGGGGTGAAAGAGAGGGGCAGAGCAAGACGGAGCAGCAAATGGAACCAGTTTCTCAGTTCATAAAATATTCATGATATGCCAAATCTTTTTGTTTTATTTCACTTTACTTTGCATTTTCGTTTTGTTTTTGGTTTTGGTTTTGGTTTTTTTTTGTCAAGCGAAATTGTTAAAGATTGAGTCATGGACATCAATATTCAATATTTCAATGGAATAGAATACATTATAAATCTGCAGAAATATTGTTTGGTTCTTATACATAATTTAGTAAATTTTATTTTATTATTATTATTATTTATCTTTATTTATTATTATTATTATATTTTATTTATACTATAAAATCCCTCGCACGCTGAACGGAGCAGAGAATTACCCACGCTTGAATTTCTGCTGAAAGTAGAAAGCGAAGATGTCATGTAATGCTGCCTGATAGTAATGATTTTTGTTTATTTGGTAGATAAATTCCAAATAAATAATAGCGCTAAATGGTAGTAGCTTTAAAATACCTCAGGTGCGTCTCCAAAGTTCGGTTTTCTCTATCTGTTATAGTCTACACCTCCACGAATACAGTACACCCTTGATCGCAGTGTGCAAGTACAGGGTATACAAAGCACCAGCACCCAAACAACCGCAGAGGCGACATTGACCACTCAAGTGCTCAAATTCGATGGCTCTCAACACATTGTTTCGATCACTTTGCAAATGCAGCAGCCAAACAGCCAAACACCACCGAATGGTTTGACCTTCGGTTTGGGCACTTCAACAACAAGAGGCTGCTGCTGACGCTGACGCTGTCGCCGCCGCCACACAGCTTCTGCCCCGAACCGAACCGAACACGAACTTTGTTCGTTTGGCTGTCAGCCATTTGAGTGACTGACATGCAACAGCAAAACCAGCAAAAGTAGCAGCAGCAGCAGCAGCAGCAACAGCAACAGCAGCAGCAGCAGCATATAGCAACAACAACCATGCTCCATGCCACTGCCACAATAGCGTGCAACGGACGGACAGACAACCGAAAACACCAATTGGTGTCAAAGCAACAAAATGCTACCGAATTGCAAGCGGCAAAAAGGGAATTTCTGGCAATAAATCAAAGATTGCCAGACTAATTTCTCCAAGGGAAAGAGCGAAGCCACTTTGCAAACGTTTTAGCTGCCGAAATATATATATATATATATATGTAATATATGTATGTATGTTTTGTATCTGTTGTATATGTAAATGGAACGAATGCGAATGGGAACGGGAACAACAGTCAAAAGAGCAAACGCTCGCTGCCCACGCCACTCGAGAGCAGCAGCAACAGCAGCAGCCAGCCGCCACTCACATAAATAAGTCACCATCAGAGTCAGATTCAGATTTAGATTGAGAATGAGCATAGCTTATACACACACACACACACACACAGTCACACACGCGGCAATAAATCTCCAAAGGCGTGGGCCCCCCGTCCGCAGTCCGTCGTGCGACAGACGTCAGCGGAAAATAGGGCCACGCCTTAATCAAGCTTGTATGGGCCACAAGTACACCCTACGGTTTTCACCGAAGCTCTACATATTTAATTGTCGGCAAATGTTCACAGCCAAAGTAAACCACCAAAACAAGACATCAGATCATTCCAGTGAGTTCATTTTTGTAGCTGAGCAACAGCGACTCAATAAATGTGCACTTAAGAAATGGTTTTTATTCGTTAACATTAACACATTCACCCATTTCTTTGGCATCGGTGAAAAACTTATCGTGTTGGAGCAGCTTTAGCATAGAGCGTCAGAAGAGAGTGCCAGCTCCAGCAGCATCAAGTGCGTATTAAAAAAGAGTCGCTCAAGAGTAATAATCAAGCTAATGCCATCTTATGACTCAACTTGAATTCGAATACGAATGGGGGGCTTCGACTGCTTGTGCTTGTGCTTGAGCTTGTGCTTCCTTCTTCGCTGTTTGCTGTTTGCTGTTCGCTGGTCTCTGGGTAAATGGCCTGCCAAGAAGCCAATAAAAGTGAGCGCTGGAATATTGCTGATAATCTGTTTATGGCCAACAGAACTAGGCCTCATTACCATATGGGCCCAGTGCGTTTGCTGTTGCTTTTGTGCAGTCATAAATAAAATATGTCAGAAAGTTGCCGTTAAGCCAACGCACTTCACACCAAACGAAAGAGAGAGGTAGGAAGACAAGAGGGTTTTGAGTGGCTCCAGCCGAGGAGAACGAGGACTCTTTGCAATTGGCACAGAAAATGATTCGATTGGCTCTTGCTCTTGACAGAAAAGAGCACGCAAAAATATACAGAATACCGCATGATTAAATAGCAATAATTTCATGTGATTTTTAACACAAAATTGTCAACATAACTGAGATAAAAATAAAATCCAAAACTTACCCAAACAAACACGTCGCGAGTCTATGGCAAACCAATTGTACAGAAGCTTTTAGCTATAATGACAAACAAGAAAAAGTGAAAATATATTGTTAGTCATTTTGAAAAGTATTAAATCAAACAACAAACATAATTCTGGCACATTTATGGTGCCCGGCAGCGTTCTGAAAATGCATCCATTCCAACACCTTACCTGTCACGTCACATGTTTTGACTTTAACTATCACTCGAATCTGATGTATGGGTTGTTAGTGCAAACACTTTCTATGACAAATTTGTGGCAACGAGAATGCGACTAACAAGAGCACAGCAAGTACAACTACAACTGCAACTACAACCACAAGAAATAAAAAAGAACAACTACAAGCCGCAAGCAGCACATGTAGTGCGGCCAGAGCTTGTTAACTCATCCAAAAAGTAAACCACATTCTTCAGAGCATTAGACAAAAAAAAAATATATACATATATACGAGTATAAACTACAGACATGAGCACAAAAAAAAGAACAAAAACAAAACCAAAAACATGTTTGGCGCGTGTAGTAGAAGCAACAAGAACAGAAACTTCAACGACACCAACAACAAATGCCTCTAAAACTACAGAATCTTCAACAACAACAACAGCCACAAAAGCATGCCACAACAGCAACAACAATAGGCGGAGTGGGCGGGCATTAGGCGTGGCTCGAGTGCAAAATGCAAAACAACATTGAAGACGAGAAAATCTGGCTACTGTAATTTGTCTGCCCACCAAAGACACGACGACACTCGTCTCTCTCTCTCTCTGTCTATCTCTGTTGCATGCCCCATGCCCCAGAGTCTCTCCAAATATATCTCTCCCCCTTTCTCTGCTGTGTTGGTCGTTGATCGCGTTTGTTGCTGCTGTTGCTGCTGCTGCTGCTGCTGCTGCTTTGGTCTTGGGGGCCAGTTTGCAATTGCTGCTCCACTTTTGAGTGTGTGTTGCCCCTAGCCCCTGCTCTACCCCCTCCCCCTCATGAATGTTGTATTTGCTTCCTAAAGTTGCCGTTGCCGTTGTCGTTGCCATCGTCGTCGTCGTTTGGCCGCCTTTTGTCGCTGAGGTCAATTTTTATGTTGCAGCCATTTTTCAACAGCAACAACGTAAAAAAAAACAACAACAACCGAAAATAGAAAAATTGGTTTAATTTTTTTCTGTGAATTTTCTTTAGCTTTTGTTTGCCTACAAAATAAAATTTTTTTTTATATATTTCCCTTTTTTATACCCTTACATTGGGGTGTTTTCCTGTGGGAAGGCAGCCGAAACGAAGCCTCCTGCTTGGTCATAAAATGTTTGACTTGGCGCAGCATAAGGAATAGCAATGATAAAATCATTCGCTGGAATGAATTTGGACGAAGAAGCGACTTAATTTGAAAGATTTTTGGTGTTGGCACAGGTCTTGCTGATTAAAGTGCAGATTGCATGTAAAATATGTACAGCGAAAACTAAGAAATACAATTTTCATAGGAATAAAATGTCGCATGTCTTAGTAAAAAACTCTCTCAATAAATCTCAATAGAAAAGAGATAAAGCAAACACAAACACGTTTTATGGTCATTGTTTGTCACAGATTTACAACCAATTTCCACCTATGCCGTAGAAATAGATTTTTTTACGAGGTACTTTAGCAGTCGTTTCATTGCAATCCGTTGAATAGTGAGGGTTTAATTGGGGAAAACTTTCCTGAATCCCCCCATTTGTTCACATGAAAAGTTTGTTTGCTATTAATCGTGCATAAATCAAAGCTCTACGATTATCAGCAGCTTTGACTTTCCAGGGTATTATCAAGTTCATACCACAAACACAAACAACTGCCTCTTCCATTTGTTTTTTGTTTCTTTTTTTTTTGTTTAATTTTTTTTTGTTCGTAAATTGCTCATGTTGTCTGCTGCTCTTAAAGTTACGTATGAGTGTTTTGTGTAGGTCTCCGTTGTGGCTGCTGCTGCTGCTGCTGTTGCTGCTGCTGCTGGCTTTGTGGCAGGCAAACTTTTTCAACCTGCCACTTGAACCGAGAGGGCACTGAGTGTTGCAGCGAGCGACAGAGAGAGAACGGCAACAGCCACTCCAATGGCTTGACACTTTCAGTTGGTAATTAGTTTTGTGGCCATGCATGTAAAAAGCAATTTTGTCTCTGAAGTGCAGCAAGGGAATGGCATGGAGGCTAAGACTATAGGATTGATTGTAGTTGTAATGATGGATTTTCATAGTCAATCAATATGCATACATAAATACATACATAGGGTGGTGTGGGGGGTAGGTGCAGCTAGTTGGCCAAGTTTTAAATTGTGTTTACATGCAACCTTGAACTGTTGCAGCCACTGCAGAATGTCTGTGAAATTATTGGTAGGGTAGGGAAGTGTCTTTCGAGTGTCTGTCAATCAAGTCCAATCGGAATTAAATCATTGACAAATAACAATAATCAAAGTAACAAGGTTCCTTTGCTTGCGATTGTTGCATGTGGCATGCAATGCAATGCTGCTGCTGTTGCTGCTGCTGCTGCTTCAATGAAAAGTGAAAAGTGCCTGAAAACTTTTACCCCATATATTCATTTCCATAAAACAAAAATGAAGACGGATTCACTCTGCCCCTGTGCTACATTCACTGTGTGTGTGTGTGTGTGTGTGGTGTGTGCTGTTGAAACTGAAACTGAGCATGCGGCATGTGGCATCAGAGCATAAATATGTGAAAAATGCATAAACAACTAGAACACATTGCAACAGAAACAACTAAAAGGGGGCGGCCTGCCGTGTTGCATGTTCGTTCGTTCACTGGGAAAGAAATATTTAAAATACGGGCGTAAATATGCACATTTACTGCGAAAAGTTTGCGCACAGGCAATTACACCTGAGCCAAAGTTTTGTTGTGTGTCGGCATGCTCTCTGCATCTGAGTTCTATTTGGGGTAAATAACATCCCCACTGGCCTTTGAGTTTACTTTAATTAAATTCTTCTCACACACAATCAGAAAAAAATGTGAGGGGCATGCCACCATGCCACCCCAGTGGGCAAACAATTTTCAAATGTTCTTTGAGCGCAAGTTTCAATTCAGAATATGAAAGGCAGCAAACACAGTCTCAAACTCCATAAAGAATGAAATGAAGATGGCTGGGGAGGGGCAGAAAATAGGGGCCCCCCCCTCCCGACGAATGGAAAATTCTCTGGTAAAGCACTGCAGATGAAAGAGAGAAAAAGTGTAAAGAAGAAACCAATTCCAGACGGAAAGTACTTGAATAAACTTTATCAAAGATGCAATAATCAAAAGAATGCAAGAATATTTCTATGACACTTGTACAGTGCGTGGCGGAGCTATAAAGCAAAAAAGCCGAGTGTCAAATGCAGTTGGAAAGTTAATCGGAAAAATTCTCATTTTAAGAAACTTTTCTGTGATGTGCAGTTGATGAAGCAATATACATAGATATACATATATAGGTATGTATATATGCTAGAAAATAAATCTTTAACAATTCTAAAAATAAAATCCAATAGAATAAACTATTTTTAACAAGAGATTTTCATTTCTTGGCCTATAATACTTATTGCAAATCTGGTTCCTTCCTTATGTCGGCCACTGTTTAACCCATATACCCAAATAGACCAACAAGTAGCTGCTGCCTAGTAACCCAGGCTAAAGGGCAATGCTGTCGGCAAAGAAAAAATGGGGGGAAAATATTGTGAAAATAGGAAAATAGAAAACCAACAGAAAGCATTTTCACAGTTGCCACAAAAGTTCATCAAAGTGGCATAACTGCAGTTGCTGTTGCTGTTGCAGTTTGCCTGCCACCCACTCGCTGTGGCTGTGGCTAAAGCTGAAGCGGGTAAATAGGCCAGCCTCGAGGGGGTTTCTGGAATGGGGTTCTGGGGCACCCAAGGGGCTCTTCCAGCTAACAATGCATATGACAAACTTTTGTCAATTTATTAAGAAGCAGCAGAGGACGCGGAAAGGGAAAGATTTTCCACGGAGCGAAGTTAACCTGATTCCCAGGAGGAATAGCTGTGGCAGTGTGGCAGGCAACATGGTCAGCCCGGTGGCAGAGTTTCCTACTGGACGGGGAGAGCCCCGTTCCCTCGTGTTGGTGTTCCTCTTCGAACCACACTGATACCCATCAATAGCAGATGACGACGACGACGACGACTTGCAGTTCAAACAACTTTCGTTCGCATAAATTGATGATAACAAAGGCATCTGGAATCAAAGTTGCTACCAAAAACTGGTTGCAGTGGCAGCTAACTGATGTTGCCACTGCCGCTGTTGCGCGCAGTTGCAGCAGTTATGAATTATGTCAAATGGCATAATTGCCAAGTCCAAGCTGCCACAGAGACCCTGCTGCTGCCCCCCTGGCCACTGCCTTGGCATCCGCATCAGCCTCAATCCGCGCAGTCCCAGTGCCAGTGCCAGTCCCAGTTTCAACTACCAGCAGCTGGCTGCAGAGTCGTTGGCGGTTTTTGGCTGGGGTTTTGGCATTCGAGCGAACAGGAAGCAATAAATTCTATGCATTGCACTCGATACAATTTGTAGCTGATAGATACGGGGGCCCAGCCAGATAGTTAGCCATACGGATAGATGGCTAGATGGCATAGATGGCCACGGAAATGCCGAGAGAGAGAGAGAGAGATGTGCCTGGGCCACGGCTAATGAACGTTGTGCGGACGCACACTTTTGGCTTGGCATCGTTTTGTGTACCCTTGAACGGGGGCTAATTCTCTTTTTGCAGAAGGAGCTGTGCCACGGCTTGCCAAGGGGGTATCTGTAGCTTCGATCAGTGATCGGGGCAACTTTCTTGCTCTTGCTCTTGTTCTCGTTTCGTTTCGTTTCGTTTCATTGTTGCTCCTCTTTAACGGTTCTCTGGCTGAAATTGTTAGTAATTTGTTTTTGCAGCAGCATGTTGGCGGATCATCAATTTGTTTGCATTTATCTCTTTACAGTTACGGCACGCATCTCTTTATATGCGAGCAGCTCTTCCCCTCACTTTACTCCACCCCCTTTCCATGTCTTTGTTTTGGCCCAACTTTCGCCTGTTCGCTGGAGCTTTTCAAACAGATTTGTACTCTAATTATCAGGCCTCATAAGCATTACGATGCCTCTCCGCAGCTGTTAAATATTCCACTCTACCCCGCAGACGAGGGCCACACACTCCATCTCTATCACTTGCGGCCGTTCGTCATGCATTTGCCTCTGAGAACGGAACTGGTGAAAAGTGAAACCGAAAAGGGAAAACTCTTGAAGAAACTTGAGAACCCCCTGAAGACTTTTACCCTTGTGGAGAGGCTACCAACAAATGGAAGATGGCTAATATGTGTGGGTGAGTGCGAGGGCAGTGGCAGTTGCAGTGGCACAGGCACAGCCAGAGGAAGAGGCACAGATATTCATACGTACTTGCGCCGTATTGTATGTGTTTTTGTGTAGATCTCATATTGAGGTTATTAGTAACAAGGCCGCGCCACAAACTGCACACAAAGAGGTGTGGTAAAGGGGGCGAAGTGGCAAAGGGGCAGCAGGGGGAAGTGCTCACTCTGTCTATGGCCTCTATGCACAATTTTGTGCTCAGAAAATTATAATTTATGTCTCGAATATTTGAATACAATTGAAACTGCAGCTGCAACAACAACAACAAAAAACATTTTCAAATTTTCAATTTCCCTTTTTCAGCATACACGGACAACCGACAATGGGAAATCAGCGAAAATTCACAGATAGGGAAACAAACGCTCAGTGTCGTTGCAGCATTTGAAATGCAATGCATAATTGTTGATGCCACGGAAAATATACGACAAAAATATATGCAATGGAATTATGTACAATGTGGAGACAGTGCGGTGCTAAAGTGTAAGTGCGTTGAGGGATAAAATAGAAAAACGATTAAAACTAGTCGGTCGAATAGGATTTTTATATTTTTAAGGGGTTTTCTTTTGACTTTGCTATCAATATCAAACTATTCTTTAAATTCCTGTGTAAGAACCTGCCCCTGCAAAAGATTTTTATTGCAATGCATTAATTTCCATATCTCTACGTGCATACTGAAACGCACTGTAACACTACCTTTACCCTACTCAAAATCTCTCTCTCTCTCTCTCTGTTTGTCCCAGTCATGACTTCACATTATGACATCAGAGGTAGATTCTTGGCGATTCTTTGGAGTCCGCCCCATTCCCCCGATACGGAGAATGACAATCAAAAAGATCCATAATTAAACAAAATTAGCGGCTTATAACATAATACAACAAAAAAAAAAACAAATAAACACACAGAAAGCAACAAACAAAATATGCGAACAGCAGCAGAACAAAACGAAAACAAAAGAAGGTTTATATTCAAGTGTATTACGACCTGCGGCATACCCATGAATCAGATTATAGCTGCAACACACAATAATAAATAAAATAAAATAAAAAATAAAATAAAAAATAAAATAAAAAATAAATAAATAAAGTAATAAATAAATAAATAAATAATAATAAATAAGTGATAAAATTGCCCACTAGATTGCTCAAAAAGCGGCATTTTGTTTGGAAAACTGATTGAAATTTATCGAAAAGTATATATTTTGTGCCTGAAGAATATACATAAATAAATACTTACAGTACTTCCCTGTCACACACTTATATCTGCGAGTATATACCCCTTCACTCCACCATTACAGGGTATGCAAACGCAAATATAAATTTCGCATTCGATGATAAAGTAAACACAAAAAAAAAGAGTTCGAACCAAAATGGTAGCAGCGTAAAACAATACGAAAAATGATATCAAAATTGTAGTTAATTTGCATGTTTCCAGGGCGTTTCAAAAGAAACTCAAAAGCCCAGCCACAAAAGCCAAAAACAAAAAAAAACCAACAACAAAACAAATAAATTATGCTCAAAAATATTTTCAAAAGAACAACATTGAAGGCGAACCGTAAGAACCACAAACCCCGAACCGCGACACGCCCACCATCAAGGCCAAATACCTTTTTATTTATTTATATACTCTTTTTGTTTTGTTTTTGTTTGCCTTTTATCTCGCTCTTTTTTTCCGTTGAGAATTTATTACGAAATTGATGCGGCATGTTGCAATTTGGTTTTCAGGGATTTTTTCGCGTTGCCGCCTGCCGCCTGCTGCTGCCGTTGTTTCTGTGCAACAAAATTTAAGTTTTGCTTTTGACCAAACATTTAATTACAATGCAACAAAAAAGATAAAGGAAATACGTCGCGACCTGCAATAAATTTGGTTTCGCTCCTGGCCGCAGGGCCCTTTAGATGCCCTTTAGATGAGCACGAGCAAGCCGTTTCCTCCTGCTCGCTGTACCCTTTGTTCTTGGCCAAGTTGCTGCAGCACTTGCCCCGCTCCTCTCCAGCCCCTTTCAATGCCATCGAAAAGGATCATCCTTATCCTTGGTCTTAGCCTTGCATAAATATGTTTTTATTTATAAGAGGGTTGTGGTAAGGTGGGGGGGAGGAGGAGCCCGGTATGGTAGGGTAACTTATTCAAAGCCAACAAAATTTGTAGCCCTGGTCGGTGCCCCGACTCTTTCACCCTCCATTCCCGCCTCTCCCCTTCCGTCATTCTTGCCGTTTCGCATAAAGAGAAAGAGCTTACAACAGGGGAAAAAAACTGTAACTGAAACTTTTGTTGCCGCTTGGCTTGCCCTTTTCTGTGGGGCAGCGGCGCTGCTGTTAACAGAATTTATTTTACTCTTTCAACCTCCTTCTGACCGCCCCCCTCTTTAAGCGTAATTCAAGTTGCATGTTTCAGCTGCACTAAGGAACGGAATAGAGAGTGGAGGAGTGACCGATAAGAGCTTTAATCGGATCATCATCAGCTTGCTCTCCCCGTGTTGCTGTGGCTCTCTCTTAATCAGACACTCTTGAGAGGATTAGAGTGCCAAAAAGAGTGCTTAAAAAAAGAGTAACAGTTTGATTAGAACATAGCGAAGAGATAAATGAACGGAAACGACAAGCTGGAAAGTGTTGAGGCAACACAGGATACGTCCTGTGTAGAAAGATTGAAGATGGATGAAAATAAAGAAGAATAAGAAGTGATACAGGAGAATGTAGAGCAGGAATCGGAGTACGTAAAAAATCGAATGAAGAATACACAAAGGCAGATGGGTAACACCCACATAAAACATGAAGAAACGAAAATAAAAGACTTAAAGAAAATCAAAAAATATAAAAATAAATATAAATATAAAATACGGAATTCGTATTCTTATATGCATCTCTTTTCCTTCATCAGAACTTCAGCCACTGAAAAGAAAACACCATCCAATCAACGTTTTGTATACTTATTCCCACAACTCATTTCTCATTTCCCTTCCATCAGTTTTTGTTCGCTTTTTGTCATCCAAGGAACTCCTTTCGACACACAGACCTGTAATTGCATTTCGCCCGCTGGACCCATATTCCACTTACGAGTATTACAATTGCGTATTAAATATGTGTCGCTTACATTCCGTGGACACTGTTCAGTTGTGTTCGGTCGGCCACAAACTTCACTCCAATGCCGCCCCCAATGGCTCTCGCTCTCTCACCCGTCTCCCTTTGTGTTCCCAGTGGATACTTAATTTCATTTTAATTAAAACACCAAATGTACAGGGAGAGTCCTTCGACTTTTACTCGACAACTTTTGTGCTGAGGCGACACACGAGTGTCGAGTGTGGCAAAATGAGGCCCCGGTGGCGCATACTTAATGTGTCTGGGCTGGCCATTACCCGGGGCAGAGCTTTGTTGCCACAGAACTACCTACGTCGTTTTTGTAACCAAAAACTTATGCTACTTCGTTTCGTTAACTATTTCTATGGCTCTTTTCTGACACTGCAAGAAAAAGGTAGGGCATAATCGAGCTTTCCTTTCCTCAATCTCCTAGATGTCCTTCCTGGAAACGCCAATTCTCTAGCATTCTAGTTTCAATTTCGTTCGTTTTGGCTACCCAAATTCTCGACGTTTTGCAACTCCTTTTAAGCGTCTTAAATTCCAAAATTCGCCTGTGCTTTCTTACCACGTTTGGGGTGTACTAAAAACCCCTCTTTCTCTAGCTCTTTCACACTCTCTAAACTCCAGTCCTCTGCTCGGCTCTTATCCACTTTAATCAAGTGCCCGTTGAAGAGCAGAAGAAGGAGGACCGTAGTGCTCCGGAGGAGTCGCTTTATCGGGGTCTGCGTCATCCATGTTGTGTGCATGTTTATGGCCACAACAGGAGTGGGCAACTAAGGAGAGGCAGCAAGGAGAGTCAAAAGCGAAAGAAAAGGCTAAAAAAAAAAAGTGACTTTGCATGCTTTGGTTTTTGCCAGGGCTTAAGTCTGATGTCAGCCAAAGTTTCATATGTCATAATTTTATCAGCCAACTGATGTGGCCGGTATCTGTGTGTGTTGTGTGTGTGTGCGCGTGTGTGTGAGCTTGTGGCAAGGAAGCCCTAAAGTGGAAACATTGCGATGCCATTCATGACACGCAGGCATTAAACTCTCTGCCACAGACAACAGACAACAGAAGGAGCCACAGAGAGACAGTGAGGCAAAGTCAACCTAAACCTCAACCTATAGTCAAAGGCAGGTGCTCATACATACATACAAATACGTATGAATGTGTGTGTGTGTGTGTGTATGTGTGTGCGTGAAGCATGCTAACAGGTACATTTGCTGTTGACTTTGATTAAAGCACCCCGCTTAGGGATCGAAGCGGAGAGACAGAGAGAGAGAGAGACAGAGACAGAGTGAGAGGATGGGAGGAAGAGTTGCTCTATGGCTGCCACTTAAAGTTCTGGCATTTTATTAACTATTAGCTACAGGCCCCACCCTCCTCCACACACCGCTGCCCTGGGTCCCTGGGTGCACGCAAACTTGCAACACATTTCTTCCATTTGAGCGCAAAGTGCAACCAGAACTGGGGGGGGGAAAATATGATGTTATTTTTAACACACTGAAAGCGTGTGGAAAAGCTATTTTTAGATGAATCGCCAAAGCCACAGAAAAGCGAAGAGAAACGAAATAAGAAGAAGTTGTACGAGTATAAGAAAAATAAAGGGGAAAAAATAAGACGTAGAAGAAACAGAAGCACTAGTGCAACAGCAGCAGCAGCACCAACAGCAGCAACAGCAGAAGAGTCACGCGGCAAAGGAAGCGGCGGCAACAAATTGATGCAACTTTTGTTGTGATCAGAACTTTGAACCAAAAAAAAAAAAACCGCATCAACGAGACTCTGGTTTTTAATATTTCTCAATTTCTCTAGGCAACTCGGCTTTCCTACTCATTCCTCTCACTGCTCAGCGCTTACCCAAGGAAAATTCATTTTTGCAGCAGTGTCTCCTTCATGTTTTATTATAAATATGGCCAATAAATTACGCTGGTCAAAGTGTCCTTTGGTGGTTCGTTCGAGCTACGAAGCACATTTAGCGGGAAATTGCAATTTGATTCAAGTTTTTCCACTAAGTAGATTTTCTTGAAATTCAATCAGCAGCAAGCATCCTTTGCTGTTTGCCAGCCAGACGCTTCCCTTCTGTGGACTAATTTGTCAGTTTACGAGTGGAAGGAAACTTTAGTAGATTTAAGATACATTTCCTGTGCGGTGGGCCCCCTTCCTGCCCCAATAAAGCGCCTCATTCAATTGTCCTTTAAAGCACTTTCTGTTGGCAAATTTTAGCTTAAATTATTTGCAGCTTTTTCAATTTATTCAACATATGATTTGATTTTTCTCTGCATAAAATCCAAAATCAAACTTTGGCGCTCCAAAAAAAGAGAGAGCACGATATAAGCTCGGCAAACACTGCCACAAACACGTTGCACAAACATTGCCGCTGCTGCTGCAGCAACAGAAACAACAGCAACTTGTGACAAATGCAACACAACCACAATAACAAACAGCAACAAAAAAATAGAGGGAAAAACTTCAACCGCAAATGCATTTTGCAAAAGTTTTAGTGCTGCGGGGCGTGTTGCAAATAGGAGAATGAGTGGTGAAGTGGGGCAGAGAGCTGGCAGAGGGTGGCGGCAGGGAGTTGAGATCGAAGTGTGGCATGTTTGGAAAGCAACAGGGAACAGGCATCGACAAGCAGCAGCGGCAGCAGCAACGCTTAACGCATATTAAAACACAGATACACACTCACACACACACATCCAAAGCGAATGCAATTTCATCGATGGATTAGAAAGAGAGAGAGTGAGTTAGAGAGGGTAAAGATAGGGGCTGCGGCAGCAACAGAGGGGTAGAGACATTGATTTGTTTCTCCATCGCCTGGCGGGACTCACTCCCGAGTCTTGGCACTCGAATCTACCGCCAAGGCAGCCAGCTCACGTAATGCACCAAGATAAAGGTGCATGCAGCATGCAGCCGCAGCAGCAGCAACAACAACCACAACAAAAATATTCAACAAAAATAGCACACAGATTTGAGCGCCAAAAAAAGTTTTGAATGGAATTTACGACTCTGCATATGAAATGATTCGAAATAAAAGAAGCCTAAGAATTTGGAATTTATGGGGAGATAGTAAAATGCATTTGCAACGAATTGTGTTGCAAAATGAAATGCAGCAAAGAGACTAGCATGTACAGTTATGTGTGTAAGACAAATTAGAATCTGGAATTCATCGATAAACAAAAACTATTAACACAAATATTTAGCGTAGATAAAGAGGAAGATTGTAGACCAATTAGTTAAGGATTTTTTTAGTGCCCTTAACGCTGCTCTTTAAACTTTTCCCGTCTTAAAAGCTATCTTTAAATGTGCTACAAGCAGATAGATAGATAGAGAGAGAGAGAGAGAGAGAGAGGGAGTGAGCAACCTTAATCATCTCTTCCATTCACTTTTCATTATCTCATCCTTTCACTTCCCTCAAGGATGGGCTATCCTGCAAGTACCTCCCATTCATTATTATCTTCCCGGGCATTTCCGCCAACGCCTTTCGAGCCATTATTCATTGTAATCCAAAACCAGGAGTTGACTCCTACTGGTTACCGTTACTGCCACCAGCAGCGGCAAGGCCGCAGCGCCACAGAAAACAAAAATTATAAATATATAAAATAAAAGGAAAAAAAAAGGTTTTTCACACTTAATTGGTTACACAAACCGACATAAATACATTAACATATATATATATATATATATGTGTGTGTGTGTGTGTGTGTGTGTGTGTGTGTGTGGGTATACAAGTAACTGTGTATAGAGTTACCCCGAATTCAGAGCGAGTGATAAATTAATGAATATGAACTGCAGGCCGAGTGGGAGAGAACCAAAAGAAACACCGATTGCCCAACTTTGAGCCAGAGCAAACCTGTTTGGTTCACCCTCTCCCCCCACCCCCCTGCTGAAAATATTGCATAGATTTAAACGAAATATTTCAGTAATTTAAAACGGAATATTTGAAGCCAAGTGTCGTTTACGTTTAGCTGCATATATTTTTTTTTTCATATTTCTTTTTTTTTTTTATTCGACAAAAAATGAAATCAAAATCAAGTTGCGGCAGGTCAGTGGATTTGTTTTCGATTGGAGATTTGAGTGCTGTTGAAACCCGAACTTAATTCGTAGTCCAAATTGTTGACAAGTAAATATTTAGATATATGTATGTATAAATGTATCTGCATCTGGTTTTGGGTGCTATGAACGGAAGTCTAATTGATTCGATTTGATTTTGGGGAATACTTGCTAGCAGAGCAGTCAAATAAAGGGAGATAGAGAGAGAGTGATTTTAGTTGATTAATGCAGTAGGAATTGAGTTCATTTGGAGATCAAATAATATTCAATAGAGGTATACCAGTATATGTAGACAAATAAACCTGATTTCTTGGCTACTATATCATACAAAATGTTAGCCGTCAATCAGCTAAGAGCCATGTGCATGTGTACCTACATTTCATTGGAAGCAATACTCGTCGTATATCTGGCAATTAAACAAGAAGTTGCACTCAATGAAAGTCAACAATTGGCTGCCACTTGAGTGTCTGTCTCCTGTTTCCATGTTGCATGGGAACGAACACACACACACACACCTCTCTCTCTTGCCACAAAAATAGATTGACAACAAGTTGCATAATGGCATTTAAATGGCCCAGACGCATAAATGTCACAAAATGCTACAAATTGCCTTAACAAATGAACATCAATAAAAGCACTTTGTGTCGCAAGTCACTTACCGACACAGATGCAGTCACAGAGATACATACTTACTAACAGAGGGACAGATAAGTAGCTAAGAGTGAAGGAAATAGAGGGAGAGAGAGAGAGAGAGACAGACAGCTGGCCTGGTCAACAAACATGGCCAACATGTCTATTCAGCATTAAGCACAGGACGCACAAAAAGCAAAAAAAAAAAAACGAATAAGGTCTAAAGGGAAGGCAAGGGAAATGGCAAATGTAGGCAAAACCTGGTCCATGGGCAGAACCAAATGGAACGCAACGAAACTCAATCAATGATCAGTGAAAAGGGCCAGGAGCGGATACTGCTGCCACAGGGACAGTCACAGGGGAAGCGGAGGTAGGCAGGCAGGAGGATTCGGATTTTTGCCTCTTGGCGGCATTTAACATTTCCGTTGTTCGGAGGTCTATGGGGAGACCAGAACAGAACAGAACAGCTGCCGACTGTTGGCTGCCTGCCTGCCTGCCTGACTGCCTGCCCTGCCTGCGGAAACTGACGAGCAAGCGGATGTCACTTGCCACTTGCCACAAGAACACCGCCTCCCCCTCTTTCTCACCCCTCGCTACCCCGCACTTGATTAATTCAGTTTTGTTTTCAGCCAATGGTGGTGCAACTGCCATGGCAAATATTTTTATTGCTCTCGAATGCTTTTGCTGTCGCTGTCGTTGTCGCTGCCGTCCGTCTGTCTGCTTCTAATCGCTTTGGCTAAATGCAAATTTGCATTTTATCAGCTGCACAATGAGACTGGGGAGCAGTGGACAGGGCATCAGGTTGAATAGACAGGGAGAGAGTCTTTGATTCTCTGTTGGCTTTTATAAATGGCTATATCCCCATGGCTGATTAGCTTGAGCTGCTGGCCCTGGACTTGATTATATTATGACCAGTTGCACTGGCATGGCACAGCAAATGCCACTTCGTTCTCCTATTCTGCACACACACACACACACATACCAACATAGGTAATTAATTGAAGCTCCCTCTTGCTATTCCTCTCTCTCTCTCTTTTTGTATCTCTTTCAGCCTGGTGGCCAATTGCCAACTTCCTGCACTGCACTCATATGGCTTACAAATTATGAGCCAACTGACAAACAGGCCAAGTGCTGCTGCTGCTTCCATTTCTATCTCGACTCCCAGGGGATAGGTTTCGATTTTATGAGGAGTGGTGGAGTAGAGCATAGAGCAGAGCTTCCAATGGAATAGTTGGTTCCCATGGCACAGAGATTTCAATGCAACGGAGTTTGGCCATTGGCCACGATGCAAAAGGGATAGGGATTCCGATCGAGTAGTGTACCGACCAATAAAGTAGATGCCCCGATTGAGGGCAGTGGCTCCCCGATAAACCAGAACTGAGTGTCCATGCGCCTAGCGACACACACAATTTGTTGCGGTGCCAATAAATATTTGCAAATTAGGCCACTGGGGAGCAGATCAAACAGTCAATAGTAGCAAAAACCACAGCGAAAAATGTGCCCCCGATTGGCAATTAGTGATTAAATCTCATTTGCGTAGAGTGGTCGCTAGTATTTTAGGTGGGTAAATATCGATGAAAATTCAAGCATAGCCTTGCAAAACGAAAAACAACAGCTGGCCGGAATTTCTGGCAATTTCATTGAAATTTACGATAATTTATTTAAGTCTCAACGGAATCAACAGTCCCAATTGTTTGTACAGTGATTTTTATTCATAAATTTAGTGCGTTTATAGCATATTTATGATTTCATTTTATTTAACTGAATGGAAAACATTTTCTACATTTTATAGCTGCAAATGGCAAATAATAATCCATGACTGAATACCAGAATGCTATCTAAAGAAAACACTGTGGACATTAAGCTGCTCGTCTAAACAAAGAAAAATAAGTACAAATCTTCTTCAATATATTCCGTCATGTCCAGTCAAGCTGTTCTTTTATGGCAGTTTCATTTGTATATTTTCATTTATGCAAACAAAACTGTCAAACCGTAGAAATGTTCAAATGTTTCAATGGAACTGTCAGTAAACCGTTCTCTCTGCCACTTCCACACCATATTTGATAGGGGAATCAATTTCGCCTGAGGTGTTCTCTCCATTCAAATGATTTTTCAATTGAACTCACACACACAAACACACAGGCTCTCACGCACACACACGCAGATGATAGTAGCGGGAGCAACAAGAATATAAGGATAGTTCATGGAGGGTCTTTCGACTCTGTCTCTCTTTCTATCTACAAATGTACACACATATGTATAAATGTAAATAAAGGGTATGTATTTATGTGGGTCCCAAAGGTAATCAGAGAAAAAAAAGCAATACTGTGTCGGAGTTGCTGCCTTCTGTGGCATTGCAAACACCTGCTAAAAATCATAATACCCGCATGGAAAAGTTTACAAAAGCAAAGAGTCTGGGGAGAAGAGAAACAAAAATTTCATCAGACAGTGACAGCTGGAGCTTTGGAGCTAAGCTGCGATATGCACAGACTGATGGTCTGGCGGACAAGTTAGTTTTTGTTATCTCCTCTCCTCTCTTCTCTTTTCTTTTCTGCACTGCGAAATATGAAAAACCGCAAGAAATGTTTCCCATCCTGCTCCCTCTTGCTGTGGTGTTGGTTGTGGTCCGACGCTACTGCGCTGCTCTTGAACTTGAGGCGATAAGGCGGCAGGCCGGAGCCGCGAAGAAGCAGCAGGGCCAAGTAGGAGATGAAGATGAAGAAAAGGGGACAACAAATGTTGCCTGGCATGTTGACAGTGCGAATAACTCTCTCGCTCTCTGCACCTCTCTTTGACCTTAAACTTCACCTCCAAGCGTGAGCGAGAGGGAGCCAGCCATGAGACAAGTCAAGACAAGACAAGACGAGACGAGACACGCAAAGGCAGGCAAAGGCAAATAGCCGGCAGCTTCAGCCAAGCTTGATGCGATCGTTGGCTGATGTTGGCTCGGCTCCCCTCCTCCTCTGCACACCACTTCTCTCCTTACCAAACGACATGAGCAATTAAAAATTTGCTAAATTAATTTTGTATTTTTTTTTGCTTTGCCCTCCTCTTTGGCTTTGTCATACCCTGCAATCGTAGGGTGAAATGGGAATGACGTTTCTCATCTTACATATGTACATATATGCCAATCCCCAATTTTCCTGATATAATGCTATCTACATATATGTAGCATTAACAATAAATTGAACTTCAAGTATATATGTACATACGTATGTAACTCCGAGTACGGGGTATCTTATAGCTGTAATACGCAACTCTATCAATATTACGTGTTTTTCGCTGTCTTTTTTTTTGCATGTTTAAATAATTTTTCATTCGTTTCGCTCTCCCGCATTTGGTGTAATTCATTAGGAACGCTCCTCCAACTCTATTCTCTCCTTCTTTGTTTCAACTTTACAGCTCTAGCACTCTCTGCATCTGCATCTCCATCTATATTACTTTTCTTTCTACCCCTCCATTCTTGCTCTTACTGGGGTTTGTTCCATCTTTTTGGTGTGCTCTTCGTTTATTGCTTTTACACTTGACATTTTGTCAGCAGTTGAAGAATATTTAATTTCATTTGGTTTTTATTAAATACAGGCAGCCATATCGGATGGAGAGGGAACGAGAACAAGCCAGAGGGGCATACAGTGAGGAGGGGTAGGAACGATTCTAAGTTGACATTTATTTGGACACATTGCGTATACGACATGCATGCCAGCAGGAACACGAACACGAACCCCAACTAACAGGGCCCCCCATCCTACCCTCCTACCCCCCTCCCACCATCACAAAACGAATGTAGCAACTCCGTCATGGCGGTTAGCCAAGTTTGTCACAAGTTCTGGCATCAGAACACGCCCCCAGCCCACAGCTTCGTCCTCCTTAGAAGCATGTGTTTGAATATTTACATATCTTCCATTTTGGACAACTTTGGCCAAGATAGAGTGGGAGAGACAGAGAGAGAGAGAAATGCAGAGCTCTCGGGCTCTACAGCGTAAAGTTTTGGGTCGGATTTTGCTCAGATTAGATTCAATTAAGGCCCTGTCGAATTTGTAATTAATTTGGGAAAATTAGAAGCAGCAGAGCATAAATGTTGTCCTCTGGTAGATGAGAATGTTAATGACTTGACCAGGAAGTAACCTGAAGATTAAGCGGGAACACAAATTAAATATATTTAGACACGACCTTAGAACTAAAGGGGAAATTAGAAAACTGAGACCTGAGAACTGAAAACTGAGAAATTGGGAGGGAAATTGGCGAACTGAGAACTGGGCAATCGGAAAACCTGACAGCACGACTTAGTGACTGCCAAAAAAGGGCCAAGAAGGAATTATGAATAATATCTTCAGGCTGCAGCTGGGCTCGTTGACAGTTGGCCTGGACTGCGAACTCCAGACCGACCCGGCTTTGGCTTCGGTTTTAGCCAAAATTGAAGTCGATTTCTAGCCCCCGGCAGCGGTCGCATTCCATGAAGAACAATAACAAAAACTCCAATGAAAATTGTGGGCATCGATCACGATCTGACAGACGGGGCTGACTGACAGACAGACAGACAGACAGATAGGCAGACAGACTGACTGACATCACCCTCGCGGCAATTTGATTTTTTGATTCGCCTCTTGATTGTGCTTCAACCTTTGGCTGAGATCCCTAAGGTCGCTTGCATAAGGCCCTCCTCCTCGCCATAAGTTCCCAAATGGAAATTCCACCACATAAGCTCTCTTTTTGTTTGGCTTTTCCTTCTCCATGGTGCAATTAAAACTGGAAAATTAATTCAGCTTATGGTCCACACAATTGACAATAATTTCTAACGGCAGGGCAGGGGCAACCGAACGAACAGCAAACAATTGCCACATGCAGCCGAAAAAGTTGAGTCACTTTTAAACCGATTATCAGCACCAAAACCAAAAATGCTTTCAAACAAACAGAGTTCCAACAGCTCCATAGTGCCACACAGCCGGTATGGGCCAGGCCCGGACCGTGGCGGACCGGACCGGACCGGATCGGACCGACCCGGTCTAGGCCGGACCCCCAGTCAAACAATTAAACAATTGCAGTCTCTCGGCCGGCAACAGAAATTTATGAGCAACTTATTTCTTTTATTTCCGAGATAAGCATAAAGTTTCCTTCCATATGGAGAGGCCACCGCGCGCAGCAACAATTAAGTTTTATTTGTTGTCCCATTGAAAATCCGCACAACATGTCAAATGTCATTTGTCTTGCAATCACGATCCAACAACCCATTAGATAACTCCGAATCGTTGAGAGACACAGCTGAGAGTGGATTTGAATTTGGATTTGGTTTTGGTTTTTGGTTGAGTTGTCCAACAGCTGGCATCGCATTTCAATACGAAATTCGAAATCAATCACTCCATTGACGGGAATCAATTAAAGTTATGCAAATCTTAGGACGGTGAGTGGATCAATTAGAGATAGAGAGGGAGAGATGTGGCAGAAAGCAAAAGAGATGAATGAGTAGACATGGATATGAAATAAAGAAAATATAAAGGAGGAGCTTCCATTCGTAGAAAGTGTAAAAACAAAGAAATATTTGTTATGTCCCTGAATCGAAATTAGTTGAAAATTATTACCATTACCCCATAATATCCCTTGCACCATTGTCGCTCCTCACCGCTGCGATAGACACAATGCAATAGCAACTTTCATGCGACTTTGATGGGTTCCATCATCAACGGCTTCCGCAGTGCCCCAATCCCCGCAATGCCTGACGCGGAAAGCCCTCCCCTAAGGGCACTGCACTGCACTTGCTTTTCTTTCATTTTTTCTACGAGTTTTTTTTTGGCTTCTCCCTTTCATCTTTCACTCTTTCTCCTCTAGCCCTTTGTGCGTCTATGCCCTGCAGCAATTGCTGACAAATCATTTGGCATTTGACTGCGCTGGATTTTTTTCCTCAAATGTTGCCTTTTTACCCCATTTTTTTTCCGTTGGCTTTGGCATTTTTCCGCTGCGGTTGCCATTTTGGCATGTGCCAGCCGACATTTTTGAGCCCCATATGTCTGGCAGCGTCTACACAGTATCTGGCACTGTCTGGCAATGTCCATTTGTCCATCGATTGTGGCAGTGCACTGCAATGTTGCAACAGTCCTCGCCTCGGTCTGTCTGCTGCCACAGCCTGTTCGTCGTCCTCCTTCATGGTGGGGAATGGATAACTTTACCTGTATCTCTCGTCCAATCCGTCTGTCTGCTGTCGGTTCTGTATCGAGGTATTTGTCACTCTGTTTGGGCCAATTGTTGGTGTCGCTGCCAATGCAGTTGGCCATTTTTCACACACATATCGATATGCACTTCAGTATACATACGAGTATATCCCACTGCACTCTCCACTCCCTCAGTGTGTGTACCTCCCGCTCCACCTCTTTTGGCAGTCGCTCTGTGGGCGCGTGCCCCAAATTGCAGCTCATGTGTCCGGTTTTACACACATATTTAAACTCGATTTACGGGCGACAACAAAAAACTGGCAAATATTTTTAATATTTTTTGTTTGTTTTTATTTACTTTTGCTGCAGTAACTAATTAAATTATTCACTTCGCCCGAGAGAAAACCTTTTAAGAGCTGCAATTTTTGACTGGAAAATGGCATACAATTTTATTTTATTCTATGTTATATTTTTCATATGCTGCGATGACTAAAAGTTTCGAGTTGTAGGGTGCTGCGAAAATATGTTGCCGTAGTTCGCAAAAATCCCATCAATGAGCAGTTAAATAATTTAAGTTTTCCTAAACATTAGCTCAGCCTGCAAAAGGCACTCTGTTCGAAAACAGACACGATTCGGGCTTAAATTGTGATCCGGTAATATTACAAAATAATTTTCGATGGTTAAAGAAATTTCAAATTGAGTTGTTTGCCAATACACATACACAAAAGACAGTCGAAGGGGGGAAAATTATGTAAAATTTGCCAAATGCAATAGAAAAACCCCAAAAACAAATACAATAGAAAAACATCAGGCTTAAGGGGCCGCAGTTTGAGATACTCTTTCAGTTCGATTGTTTTGATAGAAGAAATTAAATGCAAGCGTATAGTTTGAGGTGTTCTTTTTTTGTGTGGAAATATCATTTATCTTTATCCAATTTTATAGTTGAGGAAAACAGACCCACAGACAAGTCTGCCATGAATGAATTACCTTTTTCTTTTGGGGAGGAGAACCTACAGTACCCTCTGCAAAGTGTATTAAAATCAACAGAAATTCGTGCACAAGTCATTCGATGGTTACCCCAACTCCCAACTCTCATGAATTGTTTTTGTTGCTGCTGATGCTGCTGCTGCTGATGATGATGATGTTGATGCTCCATCCCTGCACCTCTCATCCACCAACTCATCACCCATTTTCATTCAGCTGTTGGTTTTTCCTCCTGCTTACCCCTTAAGCCCTTTCGTGGACTGTCACCAATTGGTTTTTGTCTTTGTCTTTATGACTTTATTATTGCCGATTTTGGCAGTACGCTACGCTGCATTTCATAACTTTAAGACCAATTGGAATGCGGTTGATTTGCTGGAAACTTTTGAAGTGAAATTTTGGTCAATGCTGAAACTATTTTTGAAGTTTGGAAGCTTTGGCCACCATTTGTTTCATTTTCCTGTGGCCTACAAATGCGGGCAATTATCTGTTACAATTCGATTTGAAACAACTTGTCGTAAGCTATGAAAAAAATGCCGGAAAAGTTTCAGGACTATGTGATTGCATTGAGACTAAGAGTTGGCCCATTCCAAGTTTTAGTCTCCGGTTCATATTTTATTCTTTTGGACAAAACAACACCTAATCGACTTTAGTATAAAAGAGGATAAGATAAAAATTTTGTGAGCTTCCACTTGCCATAGTAATATATGTAGTTATAGTACGCGCTGCGCTGTCTGCGCACTGATTCCATAATTACAGAATATATCTATGAGTTCTGCCCTTTAGGCGGACTCTCTCTGTAGTCTGCCTATATTGCTTATCTCTTCAATTGTAATTGTATCTTTTAATTTGTGCTCAAACTTCTTTATATTTTCTCCACTTGTTCCTTTTTCCATTCTATTCTTTCTGCTTCTGCTCTTTCGCTGTGGATTTCGGGTTCTGTTTGTGTCTGTGCCAATTTGTGGGCCGTAATTGATTTGCTGAAATCTCGATATGGAAACATGTAATTGAATATAATTTGTGGGCATCGATTGCCGATTGACGATGACCTGAATCTAATACCCGGACACAACTTTTGGCCCCAGACACCGAATCGGAATCGGATTTGGTTTCGGAATCCCTTATGGATTTTGTATGCTCTCCCTCTCTCTCTCTCTCTCTCTCTCTCTCTCTCTTATTGCTCTGCCTTTTGTTGACTGTTTCCTGGCTAAAGCTGAAAATTCATTATCATTGCCGTAGGCCACTCGAAAGAGCGAACGGGGGGGAGGCAAATGGTTGAAGGAAGTTCAAGTTGTTTTTTTTTTGTATTCCACGACGAAGACGAAGAACTTCACGATCTCCAACAACAACTACGACATACTTGCCACATGCAACATGTTATTTAAGCGTAAATCATTTCTCAACGTTGCCCACAGAACAGAAACTGCAACACAGCAAAACAGCAAAACAGCAACAACGTTGTTGCAAGTTGGAATTGGAATTTCGATTTTTCACAAGTTCACATGTTTCTGCGCCCCTCATTCGAGTCCGCCTTCGAGTGCGTTGCGCCTTGACCGTGGCAGAGGCAGAGCCAGAGCCAGAGAGGCAGTCGAAGAGTTCGTGGCAAGGAGTGCAGTGGTGTGGAGTGGAGTGGAGTGGAGGAGGTAGCCAGTGGAGCGAGACCATGCCACAGATGATGATGAAGCCGCCAACGCCGCCGCCACAGCAACAACTTCATGGTAAGAAGATTTTCCATTTTCATTTTCACACGCGGTCATTAGAGTTGAACCCACTTAAGAAGAGAGTGAGACTGGAGACTGCGAGACTGGGGAGACTAGTCGACTGAAGACTGGGGGCTGGAACTCCTCTTTTGGCCATTTTTCACACAGAAACAAAAGCAACAACAACAGCAGCAAGAACTCCACTTCAGGCCCTCTTCAGCAAATGTCTGTAGAAATAAATTAAATTTAACTTGCATTTACCCCACTCCCCTCCCACACACACACACACACACACACAGACATAGAAAAGGGCCCTGAGCTTGGCCATTGCATACATACATATGTATCTCTTAGATACTTCTTGGCGGAGCCCTCAAGACACCTACTCATACTCATACTGCGATTGCGATTCTGATTCTGATTGCTCCGACTCCAGTTCTAGAGCTATGGCTCTGCTCGAGCGCTTTCTGCCATATGCAAATTTAAAATTAAAATTAAAAGCCTTTTTGTACTGCTTAAGTTTATTTTTGCTGTGCCTCCTTTTGCTGCAGCCACTCCAACTTGGACTCGACCTGGGTTCTGGGGTCTCAGAAACAGAGAGAGGGAGAGAGAGAGAGAGAGAGACTCGTCTTTTGCCTATGACTTAACAATTTGTTTGGCTTTCTGCGGCCGCCGATAGGGCTCTCTGAAGTGTGAAACATGCCTTCAACTACGAGACACACCGAGCAGCGCAGAGCAGAGCCAGAGCCAGAGCAAAGTATAGTTTCAGAGGCACTGATTCAGATTCAGATACAGATACAACTCAGCACAAAATGTACCGCGGACGAGTCGACGTCTAAGTCTTGGCCTGTCATTCCTCCATCTCCTTCTTCTCCTCCTCCTCCTTCGTTTCTTCAATCTTTTCTGGCCAACTCTGACTTCATTGGCGCTGAACTTCTTGAAGCGGAAGTTCAAGGCGTTCACTCAATTGTATCGTGTAATGAAATGTTTTATAACACCAGACAACAGACAGCAGATACCAAGCAACCAACCAACACAATAACACAACAACACAACACTCACTGGAGTACGCGGTACGGGGTTCCATTTCGGATGTTGGCCTTCTGGAGATTCTATCAATTCGACATTTCATTTCACTGTTTGGGTCATTGGCTTCTCTGGCCCTTAATCGTCAGTGATTTGATGCCTCATTAGCATGAATATATGTAATATTTATGCTAATATTTACATTCACAGAGAGAGATACAGATACTCATGCTGCGGCAGATACAAATACAGTGGACTGTGGGGCAAACTTCTGTTGGTTCTCATCATTTGTCATCAGGGAAACCAATGAGTTTATAGCTATAGCTACTCGTAATTACAGCCAATAATCAAAGTGAGACAGTAAGCCAAACAGAGTGGACGCGCAGCTATGGATACTCTTTACTGATATTTCCGATGTTGCAAGAGAGAGTTTTATGTGTAATAAGCTGAACCGAAAGGGAATCGGAATTACTCTGTTTACATATGATAAATTCGAACATTTGAATTGAAATGGAACGCTTCGGTGCATTTCAAAAATCACATTTCCTCTTCCGTCTGGCAAACTTCTTACTAAAGTTCTTCTATACCTTCGTTAAGGGTATGGGGCAGACAAGAAAAATCATCCATATCACAAAAGTTGAAGTGACAGCCAGCCAGAAAGCCAAGCAAAGCTCTTGGCCCAAGGTTGTAGACCTTCGCAGCACCGAAATGCCAGAACAAAAAAAAAAAAAAAAAATACCCGAGCCCAACCAACAGGAAGGGGAATCGGAGTACGAAGTGGTGGATATATAGGAGATGGAGATGAAAATGGAGGAGTAGGAAGACACACAAAAACAACAACAACAACAACAAAATGATAAAGTGTTCCAAAGGCCAGAACAGACGCACATCGAAAATTGACGTAACTTATTCGCATTTATATCACTCCTCTCATCGGGAGAGCATCGAAAAGAGCCACAGTAACAGCAACGGCCACGGTCGGGGCAAAAGATACAGATACAGATACCATCATCAGTGTCGGCTCACGCAACATCCATAAACAACAACTACAACAACGTGGAGCAACATGGGGCAGGCGCGTCAAAATTAATACGTTTTTAAATGCCAAAGCCACGCAGCTTCCTGTAGAGAGGGAGAGGCACAGAGAGGCACCGAAAGAGATGGAGCGATCCAAAAGGTAGAGACCTCAGAATGCTCAACAGTTCCAGCGATCTTTGCAGCCTCGTCGTGTGTGTGTGTGTGTGTGTGTGTTGGCTCTGAAGTTGCCAAAGTCTTACGCACATGCGTGTAATTGTTTTTCATTCTGAGCCCCCGGACTCCGGTTTCCATCAGTTTTTGGCGAGGGTGGTAAGAGAAGTTCTGCAGAGCGTTTCTATATTATTTTTTGCTTATCCAAAGGACAATCATCAAAGCCCCGCTTATAGGAATACAAGTGAAAAAACCCATTGATCACAGCATTGTTTTTTATTAGATTAAGGACTCTCCCTAACAAATAATTAAGGCAAAGTTTTTGCTTGCGGCAAAACACCCAAAATATTCCTCATCAAATGCTAAATTATAACTACAAATTTTCTCAACATTTTCGGAACGCAAACGAAAAGTTTTCTAAGAAAATCAGCGCCTTCATTTCCTTATTAAAGCATTAAAGTACATAAATTCCTCGCAGCACCCTCGCACTGAGTTAATGATGTGTACAAGCCGCAGCTTGGACCCGAATCCGATCCGAACCCCAACCCAAAACCCAACCCAGTGTAAACCCTTAACGAAGCAACAAAAATAAATAATAATAACAAAAAAAAAAAGCGAAACCAAAATGTAAATTGAATTTTAAAAGGCAATTTAAAGTGCGCGTTTGGTCCGCGATTGTGGCCATAATTAAAAATTATCTTCAATTTAACACTCGATATGGCTGGAAATACTTAAATTTTTCTACGTGATCTACGCAATTTATTTATTTTTTCGTTTTTTGTTGGTTTTATTGTTACAAAAGTTAATTAAGTGAAGACCCACAGAGCACAAATATTCGTATGATTTATGCATGGCATTTGGTATATTTTCCCAAAAAATACAGTTTTCTCTGTTGATTTATTGGCGCAACGCAGTATGGGATAAACGGACAAATTGCTTTACAATTAATGCCAAATTAATTAGCTGCATAAAATGGGAACCGTGACATCCCTTTATCAAGGAAGCCCTCGGTAGTGGATTAGTGGACTTTAATTGGTTTTATTTTTATTTTGGTTTCTGCATTCAAATGGAAAATATTTTTGGTCTCCCTAAAGTCCTAGCGTTTCCATGGTAGAGTAGGAAGGTGTCTATCTCCATTGGGGATTACAGCAGGATTATGTCAAAGTATTCGTTTTTTATTTGAATGGTGCTAACTGCATCGGGAAATGCTTGCCAAGCGGGGCAAATATTTCTTCAACAGATTTACCTTTCCAAATTAATTTTAAATTGTTATATAAATAGTTTATTTATAAGCCTCTCTCCTCACCGTCAGCTGGCAATCAAAAACTGCATTTTAATCTGTATACTCGATTATTACTGTTGTTCCGTTGCTGTTGCTGTTGCTGCTGTGCGAAACGTTTTCAATTTGCATAAATCAAAAGTTGATTTTGTTTTTAGCCGCAATAAATACGTGTGGGCGCCCGCCCTGCGCCCACGTGCTGCATCATTTGTTCGAGTATGTGAGGGTCAGTTCATGCATGCATTCTGTCAGTCAAGAGTTCCATTCAATCCATCTAAATTAATGTGTGAATACTATGCGGACTTTTTGGTAGTTAAAGCCGGAAATTAAATATTTTTAAAGGCGATTCGGGCTGAGCAATCGAAATACCTCGACGAAAGTGTTGGCCACAACAACTGATACTACACGGATGGCACGCAATTTACAAATTGTATATTGTATCGACAGCTGCCGAATAAATATGGTGGATAAAATTTAACGCCTTTTTTATGATTAATTCGCTGTCATTTAATTGCCACAAAATGCGACAAAAACAGATAAAATGCTCAAACAAAAATTGTATTTTCGTTGTGTCCCCATTTGCATATTTCCCAAATGCATACAAGAAAAAAAATCGCTGTCCAATTGGCTTTTTGAATAATCGAAACATGAAATGGAAAAACCCCATATCGGCGAGAAGAGGCGCCACTTGCCGCAGTTTATGCAAATGCTGCCACACGATTGTTGACATTTATTTTTATACGAGTAAGCGGCAGAGAGATGTACCGGGTCGAATGCTTAAAAAAAAAACAGTTAAAACCAGCTACATTTAATGGGTCGTAAAATGGCAGAAACTTAAATTGATTCGCTGCCCCACACACTCCTTCAGCAGCACTAAAAGAGATCACTTGGCGTATGGGTAATATTTATTACATTTACAAGATAACTATGGAGACTGTGCGGCAGTGGGTGTTGCAGAGTGTAAACATAGCTGAGCATATATGTATGTAATTGAAAGATGCTGATTAGATACCATTGAGCACAACAGAATGTAAGCCAATGAAAGGTGGAATGGGGCCTCAAAATGAAATGCAAAACAATTCAAATTAATTGCAAATGGAAATTTGAGAAATTTTATGGCTGGCGGCTGTCAAGGGACAAATAAGTGTACTGAATGCCTATCAATATGTTAATTTGTAAATGAGGAATTCAATAATAAAGCAGAGACGGATAAGGGAATGCGGCATGGGACAATTTTCTAAGGGGAGAACGTCTCACATAACAGACAAAGTGGGATACGAAATTAGTAATTAAGTATTTGAAGCCATTTCCACTGCTTTGAAATCGATTTATGTGGACAAAAGAACTTAATAGTATTTCATTAGAGATTATTTTCCTATTATGAAAATACATCGTGAGTGCTTCATTTTAAAAAAGTTGTAAGAACATTTTCTAATATTTTATAGATTTTTTTATGTTTTTAAAATGTACTATTTTATTCATTATTTTCATAAGAAATTTCTATTTTGAGTAGCCTTATCTTACCTTTTAGATTTTATATAAATTAAATGCTTTTTATCTACTCCCTCCCGTTCATTGGTCAGGAAACTCTTTTTGGAAATTGTTGCTTCTCATAAATTGTAATTAATTCATTAAAAATGCACAAAAATTAACACAAAAACGAAACAAACTTCAAAAGTAAAAGAGACACTACTCAAACCAAAACACATCAATATTTATATGCCTTTTCCACTATTTTTTCACATTAAATTATGAAACACAAACAAGAAATTGATGTGAAAATTATATGAATTAAAATTTTTGCATATTGTGAAATTCTTGATTTATGAACTTTTTGCTTTCTATTTTTTCAACAAGTTATGGGCAAAAAATGCTGTAAAGAAATAGAAAAAAATTATAAATATTAATTAAATAAACAAGACAAATAAATGTAAGAAGAAATAATAGAAATAATGTAACTAAAGTAATTTATAGAAAGTGAAAAAATAAACAAGACAAATAGAAACAATAATGAAAGGAACGCTTGTTTGTTGGTCGAAGCTTTAGCTTAATACCCTTCCAGATACATTTTTCTTATGGAAGCTAAATATACATATTTATATATGATATATGTACATACATATGTATGTAGGTAGTCTTGATAGTAATTTTGCCTAATTGATCCTACTGCAAGTACATAATATGTATTAAGCCCCGATCTTGGCAGCTACGCGTGCCAAAATAGTTCTATGAAACATTAGGTGTCTGTGTAGATGCTGATCATTAGCCATTACATATGTATGTACACTTTCTAGTATAAAACATGCTTGTTTTTTCCAAATTCTGGACAATATGATAGTACCCTCCTATTTTTAAGGGTAGCATGAAAACTCAAATATGAAAATCTGAAACTTTTTGGGGACTTGTTTATTTGGGAAATGCTCTTCGTATGGTATGCAGAAGTAGAAGCGGAAACATGGCAAACATTTGCCGGCAAACAAATGTCTGCGAATTTCCCATTTCCCTCGCCCACTGGCTATCGCTCTTACTCTATTTTAGCCCCCATCTTTTGCTGCTGCTTCTGGCTTTTGGGCCGGGAATTCAGGGCTTAGACAAGGGTCTGTGTCGAGGAAGAGGGAAGGACAGTGGCTACTACTAAAACTGTCTCAAGTTAATCGCTTTTATTTATTTTCGCCCTGTTCCAAGCCAAACACACTAGCACACACTTCCATACACACACACAGAGAAAGACTAACTGCAACCGGTTTTTCCACTCACACACACACACATGCATGAATAGGGTTTTTTTTGCGCGCTTTTAGCTATTTTTCTTTTTGTTTTCTTCTTTTTAATATAAACTTTTTTTTTTGTTTAGCCGTTGAAGAATTTATGAAAATCATAAAACAAAAGCGAATTTCATTTCACATGAGCGTATGTAAGTGTGTGTGTGTGTGTGTGCATAGCTCTCTCTCTCTCTCCGTGTGTGTGAGTGTGTGTGTGTTTGTGTATGGAAGCGCTTAAGTTGCAGTTGCAACAGATAGATACCACAAGCTTTCAAGTCTAGCTGCTGCTGCTGCTGCTGATGTTGCTGTTGCTCTTGGCCAGGTTAACACGCCAAAACCTGGCGACGTCATAAAGTCAGCTGCCGCTTCTGTTTTCCTTTTGTTGTGGCAGCAGCAACTATTCGGTTGACAGTGCAGCCAGTGGCAGGGGCAGGGGCAGCATCACTGGCGGCAACAGAGGCTGTGCGACAGCTTTCAAGGCTGTTTAGAAGGCAGAGCCAGAGCCCCCAACCAACCACACAGACAAGACGCTATCTCAAGCACTCAAGCACTTTTCCTGTACATATTTTAACCATGTTCCTTCCAGCTTTAATTTCGAATATTTTACTCAAAAGAAGGCATGGCTGCTTCGCCCTTAATATAATTCATTTTAAGAGATATTTTATACAAGTTTTTTTCTGGGTGTTCTTAAAGTTTTTCTTGGCCTTCTTGGCTTGTTTTTGTAGTCTCTATTTTTGTTTTTGTTGTTGTTGTTGTTAGTGGTTTTTGTCAAATTACCGTTTTTCAATGTGCGGGAGTTAAAAACGTGTTTTCTTGATTTTTTGTTTTGGCTGCGGCTTGCGGCGGTTGTGGCTTCTGTGGCTGTTGCTTCTTTTGCTTTCCGTACTACCGCGGACACGAACCACTTCTGACGGACACTACAACTCTGGTAACAGTTCGGACGGGGGCGCACGTCGTCGTCGTTATCGGCTTGGCTGGCAAAGCTCAACTGAATGCATGCTAGACACTGGCGAAGCAGCCCATGGAGCAGACCCAACGCCGATGACGGCGATGATGATGATGGGGCTGGCTGGCTGGCTGCCGAACAAGAGGAAGAGCAAGCGACGAACTGGTTTCGGCCTCGGCTGTGGCTTCGGCTTCGGCTTCTGCCAACTGGTCGTACTTTGGCATTGCTGTGCAAATAGTAGTAGAAAAGAGTAGTAGATGGATGGGGATGGGGAAGAAGCCAAGGGATTGGAATGGCTGGACTAACAAAAGAACGGGGCACAAGCACAGTCAGGACGGAATAAAGTTAGGCAGGAACAGGGCCTGCCTGGACAGGAAGAAGGCCATTGCCATGACAGGAATTCATTTGTGGCCAACATTCAAATAAATGAAGGCAATTACGTAGCAGCCTTAGTGTTACGGACAAACCAAATGGTTGTAAGCCTGACCCCCTCCAGTCCACGCCAGTCCCTCCCTCCCACCAGATGACTTGGCCCGTTCTGAGCCTCTCTTAGCTGCTGCCGCAAGAGAGCGCCTTTAGTGCTCGCTCCCCATTTAACGGAAGTAAAGCGGCAAACAACAACAGCAACACTGTTTTGGGGGACCAGCCGGTTTGTTTACCTTTTTTCAGTGGCTGTTATATGTGTATGCACGCCGCTCAGCTGTTATACTGTTATACCGGCTGAACAGCTGTGGCGGTAGCAAACACTCACACACACAATCGAAGCACTTCCGTGGGCTGTTGTATTTGTTGTAGCTCTTGTTGTACCCTGTAATCGTTGATTGGATGGGTATGTTGCATAGATAAGAAAACTGAAATTACTCTCAAATATGTTTGGTTTATTCAAGGTTTTCCAGCTGATAAGAAACCCCTAAGAGTGGTACCATCCTCTCTGCTTTACTGATTATAATTGGCGCTACGCGGTCTACTTAGTAGAGGGTATCTACCACGACTATCAATAGTTCCCTTACTTCTTTTTCAGCTAGTGGGTGTGGGTGTGGGTGTGGGTTGCCTGTGGTTGCCATGGCGTGTTGATAAATAAGCAAATAAATAAATAAACAGTTTCAAGTGTTTTCCCAAATTGAGTCAAATTTTCACTCTTCCTCATTATGTGGTGCCACCCGATGTGGCTGTGGGACTGTTGTTGTTGGTTGAGCTGCAGTGAAATAAATTGAAATACTTTTAGCCAGATTGATAGCTTCATTAAGTGCAAGTGCAACAATTAACCCAAAGTTTTGGCCAAATGTGGCACTACCAATAGCATTGATTCTGATGGGATTCGAGTGTTTTGTGTGCTGACACATTTATACGTATTGTGTATTGATTAACCCATTGTCCCCAAAAGAATTGACTGAAATGGTTCTGGGATACCTCTAGAAAATTTGACTAGAGAACGTCAACACTTGGCATGGATCCATGGGGCATGGGAATTCGTAGCCTGCAGAAGAAGAATAAGTTTTTGGGGTACGTAAATCAGGTTAAAGGAAATCAGATAGCAAAGAAACACTTACCACATGAGTGAGATCTATTGATTGTTGCATGACCCACTAAAACTATGACAAACATATATTTATCTTTAATCTGCCCCTCCCACACACGCCCCCCCCCCCCTGTCTTTATCTCTCTCTGGAATCGTTAACCTCAATTATATCCACAAATTGTAATTACTTCATCGATACAATTGAATTGTTTTCCGACTACTGTTTGGCCCCCACTCAACACTCCACACTCCACACCCAGAAATACAGCTCGAACATAAGACAGTGGCCCCCACCTTCTAACCTATCCCCATGGCCCCTCCCCCTACCCTCTCACCTGTACACTTTGCCACAAAATCAATTGTGAACCTTTTTCTTAGCCATTTTGGGTGATTTCATAACTTTATTAATTCATTTGTTCATTGTTTCTCTTTGGATCTGTGGAGGGTCGTTGTTTTCTTTTGTTGTTGTTGTTGTTGTAGTTTCTGTCGTTGTTTACGGGTGCCAATTCAAGCGCGACAAAAGACAAGAAGCCAGCGCCAACCCCAGCCCCAACCAAAACTACAATTCCAATTCCATTTCAGGTTGCGGCTGCCACAAGCCCCGGGAGTCGGGTGCGGACCAAAGAAATTCCAATTAATGAAAATGAGCATAACCAGGCGAGGGGCTGGGATAGCGGACGGAGATGTCGGGGAAGCAGGCAATAAAATTATGCAAACAGCAGGTGTTACCCATTATGTTTTCCAGTCTTTTGCTGCAGTCACCAATTTGGGTCATTAGCAGGTGGTTGTCATCGCTGCTCCTTCTTTTTTCTTTTGTAGGTGTTTTGTGTATACCCTAAAAGAGAGTATGCAAATGTTTAGGACGGGAAATAATTATTGATAAGCAATCAGTAACCTTCCACAGATCCCTTGCTGTTGGGCGTACTCCATATTATAGAGAATCGTACTAGACATCAGTAATTTCCATCATGTAACCCCAATGGCCCAAGCCCAAGCCCAACCTGGGTATCTAACAGCCTATTCCTTCTGTTGTCTCTCCTTTTTTTCTGTAACTTGACCCCCTACATTTTGGTGGGGCGCAACCAATCAAAGTTATTAGCAAAGCAGAGGGTCTGGTCGGGTCTGGTGTTTTTTTTTTGCGTCTGTTAAGGGGGTCCCAAACTATAGAAAATTTAATTAACTGCCAAATTAAATACACTTTTCAGCTCTCAACTTTGTTTTGTTCTACCTCTGATTCTTTTTCGTGGTGTTCTTCTGCTGCTTTGGCTGCCGTTTTTTTTTTTTTTTTGCGTTTCCCCAAAGAGACCACAACCACAAGCAGAACCAGAACAGTGGTACGAGCCAATCGTCAGGGGGCTCCACCCGCACTGGAGCGTCCAGTGTTGCCCGCTCTGGTTGTCGTTGTTGTTTTTTGTAGATGTGGCTGCAGTGCGTCGGAAGTTGTCGCCGGCAAATCAACAAACCATAACGCACAACAAGCCAACGGTACTCGGCTCCCACTGCCAACAGCCCAGCCAGTGAAAACATTTAACGCCGCTGCTGGCTTTACTTCTTGTGTTCTCATGGCTTGCATATTCCAAATGGAGAACAAAGAATAAAGAAATTCATTAAAATTTCGCTGGCCAAGCGCTCAACAAATTAGCCCAAGTCTGTTAAGTGGCCTGAAAAAAGTCAACAAAACACAGAATAATTATGAACACAAATGGGTATTCGGGCACCACATACATAAATCGTTTTAAATGCAATAATTGTCCATGAAAAGTAAATAAAATACCTATTGGGAAAACTAGCTTAATTTTGTTCGTGGAGAGATGAGATAATCATAGCTGAAATATTTACATAATTTAATTGGATATGAAAAAGGAATATTATCAAAAAAAAAAAACTATTCTAATGCACATTAAATGGAACACGAAAGAAAGCAATCTAGATTACATTTGGCACAAACTCCAGGAAATTATTTTAAATTATCCCGTTCAATAGTCTTTTGGTTTAAATTCACGTCAATATTTAATAACCCCTAAATGTCCATAAAAATCTGTTTGCCATCCCCTTTTATTTACTTTGATTACTCGAAATCCCCAACTAATTTATATCTAACGACGCGATCCGATCTGATATATTTCATGATGCCATCCAATTTATCGATGATTATGAATCGGTTTGGCTGTCTATGGAATTTGCTTGGCTTTTGTGCTGTTTCGTTTGGCTGTTGTTGGTGCTCTTGTACTTTTTTCAATTTCCTAGCCATAAGCTGTCAATTTTATGGCCAAAAACGGCGCTTCTCTTTACGAGTTTCAACACCCATTCCACACAGTCCCCAGTACATATACCCCCCCTCGTGCGCTCTCCTCGAGCACCCTTCAGGCCCCCGACCACCCCAACGCACTAAAAGAGAATTTATGTTGATGATTTTTTGTGTGCGGCGGCCTATTGCCATAGTCACGAGGCAGTCGCAGTCGCAGAGACTGCTGCAGACATGGAGCCATCGTCACAGTCAGAGCCAGAGTCAGAGCCAAGGTGTAATGTAGGTGAGACTCTTTGAGCATAGCTGCTCCATTAAAACTGTTCAGGCTGCTAATAAGAGAGTGCACTCTGAGTTGGACGAACCCTTTAACAAATATACCTTGGGCAAAGCCATCGTCGCAGTCGGGGTTAGAGGCTCGGCTCTCTTTCCCCCCTCCTAAAGCTGACGGCGCACGCAGGCTTCGCGAGACTCAAATTGTAGTCGGCGTCGGGGGAAGAGGTGGTGGCAGGGAGGCAGAGGCCAGACAATGCAGTGACTGCTGCGGCTGTGGCCTCGGACCGCGGTCAATGGACTGCACTGCCCACCCAAAAAGGCGGCACTAAATTGCTTTGAAATGCCGTTAGAACAATAATTGCGCGCACACCAACACACACACACACACACACACACATACTGGAAACATATGATTGGAACGAAAAGATAGGCGATAGGAGGAGGAGAGCTTTTTGCCAATTTATTGAGTTGTAAAACGGCTGCTGGACGGTCGGGGGAGAGGAGTGCACGGCAGCGTATTAAAAATAAATAAATTAAAGAGAGGCTTTGTGAGAGGTGCAGTGCTCATTAGAAGGAAGCTGAAGGAGAAGGAGCCGCGCCGAGCAGAGCACAGCAGAGCGGGTGCACAAAAGTTAGGTTACGTTCCTGCCCAGACCAGACTAATTGCTCAGCATAAATAAAAGGAGGAGGAGAAGAAGGAAAACTAGAAGAATTCACAGGAACGAAGAGAGCCGCTGCTCTATGTGCTTTCGACATTGACGAATGCCACTTCCTTATTGCAAGGTCAGCTGTCGGCAGCTAAAGCAGCTGCTTACTGCACGATATGTTATTCACCGACGGACTTAACACCAAACGAGTGCAAGAATCCGTTTAACACAGTCGAAAATCGAAGTGTACCGATAGTTAAAAAAAGTGTCGGCGAAAAGAGCATGGTGTGAGAGCACCTCTCATTCTGATTGCTCTTCCTCACACCAAATTCCTGTTCTCCCACTCACTGTCGCGCTCCCACTCCCACTCTATCCCGCTCTGTCTCTCCTTCTGTGCCATTCCCATTG